TCAATTAAATACAAATTTAATTTCGTCAATAAAAAATGTTTTTTTTTTTTTTTTTTTTTTTTTTTTTTTTTTTATAAACGTATTTAAGCGTTACGAGGCGGAAAAAATTGTCAATAAAAATTGGTGTATCAAATTCACATTCAAGGATACGGTATTACGTGTGAAAATTCTTAACTTTCTACATGCGTTCGAAAGGTTTTTTTTTTGTATAAAATATTTAACATATACAATTTTTTTTTTTCCCCTAAAAAGTCAGTGTTGCTTGGTAAAGTGGAGCATTGCTCTTATTCTGCGGAGGATATTTTTAAACAATCAATTAGGGCGAAACTCATTTTCTGAACGGTAATCTTTTCTGGATGCGATCGAGAATATCCTGAAATATATACGAAAATTTTAAAAGTCTCTTCAATAAACTGTTTTTTTAAATCGTGTTCGTTAAACACACACGTACGCGCAGAAAGAAGTTGCGTAATACACACAACATTTCTACGCTCGGTGCAAGCATAGGGATATAGATAATTCTTCTACATCGGTTCAAAAAATAAACGATAAAAATAATATGGATAAAAAAAAGTACCATATTTTCCATTGACCTTTTCTCAAGGTCTCAAGCAAAATTAAACAGCGGTAATTCCAACAGCAAGCTTATCTCTTGCTCTCTTTTACGATATAATCCGAAACTGATGCGTTTTCTACCGTGTGGCTGCTCTATTTGTGTAAACACAATGTAAATGCAAACATAAACGTGTGCTTGCTGTCGATCAAGTTGCATACATGTTCCGCATCTTCCGATCAGCCGTGTATATGTGATTCTCTTTCTCTCTCTCTCTCCGTTTTTCTTCTCACGTTTCCCTTCCTCGCGTTTTCCTTTTGCACGGATTGTAGGTAGAAATTGACGCTTTCCAGCTTTTATTCCGCATTTCTCGTTAATTAATTGTCTTCAATGGTGGGCAACCAGAAAGCCATGTTGGTGCATGCCGAGGCCAGCATCATGTATTTAGGATTAAATTGGATACACTGCACTGGTGCTGGATGGTCACCGTTCAGTACGCAAACTTTATAACCGGTCTCCGCGTTCCATACGTGCACCCTACCGTCTGTAGATCCACTGAACACAAACTGGGAATCCGGACTGAAACTTGCTTCAATGGCAATCCCCTTGTTGTTGAGGTATCCAGTAAAAGTCTGTAAGGGCGTACCATGAAAAGCATCAATTAAACGGATCGTACTACCATTAGTGGAGACCAATATTGTCTTGCCGTCTCTACTAAACTTTAATCCAGTCCAATCACACTCTTTCTCCTGCGACAGTTTGAACGTGACAAACGGTCCCTTGTCGAAACTACGCAGATCATAGAGCTTGATGCTTTCCGAATTGACGCCCGCTGCAAAAATCAAACCCTCAGGATCGTATGCAGCAACAGGCCTTCCGGAGACATTCATAACTCCGTGACAGTTTGGCGATCGCAGGTCCCACAATCTCAACGATTTATCTAAAGAACCAGAAAGAAAGGTATCCTCGATGGGACTGATGCATAACGATACTACCTTCTTTGTGTGACCAGGGAAGTATCTTATGTACTTGTTGTCATGAAGACTGAGGTAACGAATTGTATCGTCCACCTTGGTGCTGCTGTGTATCGCCGTGTTCTTCGCGTGCGTGAAGTGTATCAAGTCGACCCCGTACTTCTTCGAGTTCACAGTCCTGACCTGCGTGCCCTTCTCACAGTCGTATATGACGATCTGATCGTCCTCGGAGCAGGAGATCAAGGTGTCCCCATTCGGCGAGAAATCGATGCTGTTGATCCGATCCGAATTCTCGCGGAATACCTTGGCCACCTTGAAGCTCCTCACCACCTGGTCGATGAGCTTCATGGTGATGGACGGCGCGTCCTCCCTCTCCTGCCGTCCTCTTAACCTCTTCGACTCCACAATCACTGTGTTGATATAGTGACCGGGTGACGAAAACACCGGCCACGGAGGCCGGACGCGAACACGAGAATTCGCACGCGAGACAGTCTCGCGCGGGGGCGACAAAAAAATTCGCGTTGCGACGACGATAGAGCGGGATCGGTGGGAATCGTCTAATGTGTTAGCGGGGAAATCTCTCCGCAAACGTTCTTCCGTATCCGCGCGCTCACCTGTGGACCTCACCGTCTCGCGTTCCACGCGGCTGTCGTCTCGATCATGAATTCTATTCAACAGACAGACAATCGAAATATATCTTTCCCAAATCCCAAATCTCTCTCTCCCTCCTTTTTCCGTGCTCCTCCGTCCCAAGAACCACCAAGAACGGACGCCGTCAGCAAAACCACCGCACACCGCACATCACGCACGACAAATTCTGCCAACTGTTCAAAGAAGCGAACGCACGGTCGTAGATGTAGATTGTGCATTATCATTTTCTGCTCGCATTTAAAGCCCGTTCTACATTGATCGCAAGCGCAAACGCAAGGAACAGGTCTGGTAGAATTGACCAATCGTATTGATCGAATCAGCCAATTGACCAGCGTGATTGATCAATTCTACGAGATCTGTTTCTTGAGTTTGCGCTTGCGATCAATGTAGAACGGGCTTTAAATCGAACCTGCCATCTATACGTTCCGCGTAAAAACCGCGTAACTACAACGCCTCGTAAAGTGTCGCATCGATCTGTCTTCTCCGTGGGTAACACACAACAAACGTTTAATGAGGGCGCTGACTGAACGATATATATAATTTGTCCGTTCTTTCTCTTCTCTCTTTCCCACGCTCAGCTGTGCGCGACCCATCGTCAGATGTGCCGTTGTTACGCGCGCGCGTGTGTGTGTTGCGATTTAACTCCGATTCTTTTTGCGCACAAAAAGCCCGCGTGCAGGTCCATTAAAATTTATTCAATGCGTATCTCGCTGCACTTATGCAACCACCTAGGTGAGAACGAACATCGATGAGTCTCGTCTTGACGGGCATTGTTGAGACACGTCAATATGAGCGGCGTCAAAAAGAGAGTCAACCATCGGGCGGTGTTTAAACGGCGCACGAAAACGGATGACAACGACGAACTGTCAAAAAGTGTCATCGTGTCGGCGAGAAAGACGGGACATTTAAATCTCTCGTCGAGAGGATTATCCACGGGTATTTGTAGACGATAAAATCTCTATGCACAAATTGTCTCTTCAAATTTGCGAAATTAGCGCAATATTTTACTTGTTCGAACATTTGATAGATTCGTAAAGTCTCGTGCATTTATATATATATTTCGTGTGTCACGCGCACACACAAGTGTTTCCGAGCATGCTTTGTCGTTGGATCATCAGGAGCTCGCTCTGTCTCTCATGATTTGGATGTGCATGATTGTGATGAGACCCACACTTGCATATATATTTACGCCTTATACATATCATGTTTTATAAAGAATATTTTTACAAATATATATTGTACAACACCCACATATCTTCAGAAAGAGAAACCAACATGTAAATTATTGTGGATATCGGTCTAAAATTTCAATCCATATTTTATATTGTTCACACTTGTGTATTTCTGTTGTTTTTTGTGTACGTGCAAACTATTGAGAGTAAAATTGTAGATTTCAGACGTGTGCATGTTGTTTCTCTCTGTCAGTGTGCGACAAGATTATTTGAAATGTGTAAAGTTTTTACAATTTATATTACTGTGTTACATATCGTTAGTTTTAAATGTATTATTGGTGTATACAGAGAGATAATTGGCATCTCTAGTTCATATTATATTTATATATGTGTACATATATATATATATATATATACTTTAGTTACAACATTATAAACCCAGTAATTTGGAAAATCTCAAATAAATTTGGTTCTAATTTCCGTAACTGTATTGTCTTTTTTTTTTCTATATTGTATAAGCGTAAACTACAACCAAAATTCAAACCTAATGTAGCGACAAGTAAATATGTTGTTAACATATCAGTTTCCATTACTTTGTCAATTGTATTACTAATGCATAATGCTTAGTTATAAATGATATAACATATATATCATAAAAAAAAAAAATAGGTTTCACTTGTAAGTTACAAGCGAAACATATACTCTGCGTCATGTGAGAATCATCATTTTAAGTTGCTTTGCACGCTTAGCTGAGAAATCGTGTAATAGAATCGATCACACGCTGTCAGTTATATATCAAAAATGTAACTTATAGAAATAATCTCATTCACAAAGTCAGGTAAGTCAAGCAGTTTTTTAAATGAATGTGTTACAACAAATATGGACGTTGCAGCGCACAAATGCTAAGTGTGAAAAATTACTGTACCTTGCAGTACCCGACAGAGTGTGGAGCATAAATGATCTAACAGAAGAGGAATTAAATGATTTACATTTTGAGCTTGATTACGAACACAAGGAAGAGCGATGGTGGGAACAAGAACCACTGAAAGTTCTAGATCTAAGTTCCAACAGTCTGACTGCAATCAGTGACAAAATACAACTTTTGACAGAACTGAATACTTTAGACGTGCGTGAATATAAAAATTATTTAACGTGGTGTAATCTCAAAATATACGGAATAATATATTAATATATCACTTTCTTCTCTAGCTGCATAATAATTTACTGGAAGAGCTCTCACCGGAGATTGGATCGTTGCGCAAATTAACATTAATAAATTTGTCAGAAAACAAACTGGAAAAATTACCCACTCAGTTTTACATGTTGGAGGAATTGTGCGAATTGCATCTGAGAAATAATCATATAAGTATACTTGAGCCTGAAATTGGTAATCTAATTATGTTGACTCATCTGGTAATATATTACTATATAAATATATAAAATTTATATTTAATTATATAAAACTTCTATTTACCTTTTGAAAAAAAAATAGTACAATTGTATATTTTTCCTTACAGGATTTATCGTACAACAATTTAAGTGACTTGCCAATTGGAATGGGGTATTTAGTGCGGCTGGTTACGTTGAATTTATGTCACAATACGATAAAAGAATTGCCGGCTGATATAACCAGCATGAGATGTAAACTCAAGTGTTCACAATAAATAAAATCTTATTGTTAACTTTGTGATTGCCATATCTTAATAATTGTTTAAATTTTTTTTATGTGAATGTAGCGTTAAAAACATTAGATGTCAGCTTTAATCAGTTGGAGATATTGCCGCCATTAGGTGAATTGCGAAAAGTAGAAAGAGTTATACTCGAATCTAATAAACTGAACACATTTCCCAACATATCAGGTTGCTCAGCTTTAACAGTATTATATTTGGATAACAATAACATTTCCGTACGTGTGAACGCTATATACACAATTTTTTATAAAAATATGAAAAAGAAATGACTGAGATGTTCTTTTTTGTTATAGGAGATCGATCCGGAATATTTAGAAGAAGTAGGACATATAAAGAAGCTCACACTGCAAAACAATAAAATCGAAGTGATACCTAAAGAAATAATCAGATTGATAAATTTGGAAGTTTTGGATGTGTCGCATAACAATATATCTTTGTACGTCATCATTTCTCCTTATGTATGTTATTGATGCGTATTTAAATTGTTTATTCCTAACGAATATTATACTTACAGAATACCTTCTTGTGTCGGTATATTACCTAATTTGAAACAGTTTGTGATAAAGGGGAATAATATAAAGAACATAAGGGGAGATATAATACGATGCGGCACGCCTCGTATTTTGACACACATTCGTCAAGTTTCGGATAGTACAAATGTAAATACCAGAGATTTGTTGCAATCTAGTCCCGGTGGTAGTTTTTATCCTGATAAGTATGTATATAAAAATATTTTTATATAAAACAGTATTTATTTAATTATTCGAAATTTTCACAAATACTAAATATAGTAAAATCTATGTTGTATCAATTTCTAACAATATTTACAGATATATAATGAAGAGTACAAAACTACTCAGCTTGGCTGGGCAGAATCTTCTGGAATTACCAGATGATATGTTGGAGAGCGCAACAGAAGCCTCAGTTGTGACCATCGATTTAAGTAGAAACAAATTATCAGAATTGCCTGATAAAATGTCCGCAATCGTTACAGTGACAGATTTGAAATTAACTTCAAATCAATTAACGTATCTGCCCGAATGGATTGGTGAAAAGTACAAATATTTGCATGTTTTAGACATAAGTAAAAATTACTTGGAATCTTTACCGCTCAGCATTGGTAGTTTAAAATACTTGCAAGACATTGATCTTTCATTCAACAGGTATATTTTACTCACAATATTATCTCATGCAGTTTGAATTGCTTTGAAGTTTAATTTGCGCAATGCGCGCACACAAACGTTTTTTGTTCTTAATTTATTTATCATGAAATTTTCTGCAGATTTACTAAACTACCGGAAGCCATTTACGATATTGTATCTTTAGAAAGCGTAATTGCCAACGACAATCTAATTGTGGAGATAGATGTATCATCTTTAGAAAAATTAAAAAGACTAGCGGTTTTAAATTTGGCGAATAATGACATTGTTCATGTGCCGCCTGAACTTGGCAATTTAAAAAATTTAAGGTAGCAAAAATATATTCTCACGCGTCTAAAAGTCATAGTAAATTTTTTATAGATATTTTACTGTAGATATGTTTAAAATAATATATAGTATCTATAAAAATACTTTTTTATTTTAATACACGAAAACTATATAACATTGGTGTACTGTATGTGTTACCATCATAATTTACATTTAAACATTCTTTTTCACAGACAGTTAATGTTATCTGGAAACTGCTTTAAATATCCCAGACAAGCAATTTTAATGAAAGAAACGGAAGAAATATTAAGCTATCTGCGCAATTTAATACCTCATTAATGTTGTTCGTAAAATGTAATAGAAGTTAAGAATGCAATAGGCCAAACAGAACAAATGCCTGATTGTCGCTAAATATAAATTGATATTTTAAAACATGTTGTAATTTATAATTTTACGTAAGTAAATAAAAGGAGCGGGATAATACGAGGTTTCGATCTGTGATTCTCGTCTTTTGTTTTGAATCAGAGATTAAGTAAATGTAAAAATACAAATTATATAAGGATAATTCATTTTATTTTATCTGTATACAATAGCAACCAGCGTTATAACCATTGTAAAGGAGTGCAAAGTACACAATATATCTTTGTTTCTTTTCTAAACAGAAAACGTTTTTACAAAATTTTTCGTACGCGTGTCCAATTACCTGTGATTGACAGTTTAAGTACACAATTCAACGCATGTATAAACTAAGTACACGTGTCTGAAGTACATTCTCATTGCTGTGACAAAAGAGTCAAAGTACTACCTCGATAATAAAATAGTTTTTATTCAACGAGTTTGAAAAAATTAAGTAGACAAGTGTGAACAAATATACCCTTTCTATAATTCTTTAAATATATATATTGCATACTGTGCATCGTCATGGCTTTAGTTCTGTTTATTTTTTTTTTTTTCAGGAATATAACCCTTTCACCATAAATCCACTATCCCGTCTCTGGGGATGAGTGTGCGGGAGAGGGCTACCTTCCGAGAAACTTAATGTCAATACGTACATATATATACATATATATAATATATCGTGTGCAACTTTTTTATATGTATACAGGGTGTCCCAGAATTGCCGTACAATCTCTCGTAGGCAGGTAGGAGTAAAACTGAGTCGATAAGTCCTGAACCATTTTTTTTCTATTATTTATAATAAAGGAGTAATTATTGAGTAAATCAGGCCAATCAGCGCAGATCTTTAGCCAGGCGCACGTCAGTGAGCCGCGCGCCTGATGTGTGTGAGTGCTCACTGACGTGTGCCTGGCTAAAGGTCTGCGCTGATTGGCCTGATTTACTCAATAATTACTCCTTTATTATAAATAATAGAAAAAAATGGTTCAGGACTTTTCGACTCAGTTTTACTCCTTCTATTTGTTCACGAGAGATGTTACACCAATTCTGGGACACCCTGTATATATATTTCTTTAAATATATATATATAGTTCGGCAAATGTCGCAAATGTTTAGTACAAAATTATATTATTACACTTAGATTTACAAAAGCAAAAAATTGACAATTAAGTATAGCTTCTATCGTATACAGGAACAAAAAATATCGTCATGTGTTGTATAAATGATATTTGTTTTTTTTTTTCGTCACGACGACAGGAACATTATTCCGCATTGCAAAGAAAAACATAAACTCTATTAATTAATGAACAACATGGCGATCATTGGTTCGATGCGATTCTAATCAGCGATTAGAGATTAATTGAGTTTTCTAGAACTAAAGTCGGAGTTTTTATAACAACAAAGTGCACGTCATAATCCTACATAATCAAACTCAATGTCGTTCTACGTAATCGTTGCAATAATTCTTGGCAAACCAATGATTTAATATGTACTTCTGTGTTTTTTTTTTCGCGCTCTATATTACTACTACTGCACTACTAAAAACAACTTTGGTGTACGTAAAACTTACACATGTTTAAGTTACTGTTAATTGCAACATCGGTGTTCTCGATCAAGGAAAACGTAAAAGGAAAGAAATAAAATTTGCGACTATTTTTTCATAAAAAAAAGCCAAGCAAGAATCGGTTAACACCTCGCACGTTACCTCGCGCGTGCACATCAGCCATCGTGAGTCAATACGATGGGAAACGAAATTGGCGAAAAACTTCGCTTTCGCGATAGAATAAAATTAGAAGTTTAAAGAAAACAAAATAACGAAGACTTAAGTAATTGGCTTCGCGCACATCGAACGAGAATGAATAATTTTCGCGGCTGTTTTAAAGAAATAAATTTAAAAAAAAAAAAACAAGAGCATAGTTCAACGATGAAAGCTGCGGATTTTCTTAAAATGTATAAAAATCGACGATCCTCTTAAAATTAAATAAACAAAGAATTCCGAAGTTTCGCGCAACATTAATAATAATAAATAAATTTGTCACTGAGAGGTCAAGCGCGCGCGCTTTGCGATTTTTTGTCACCGCGACTACGGCGGCGCTTTTTCTATTGCCGCGCGACCGTGCACGCACGATCGTATTACAGACCGTGTGTGGAGTTTCCATTTTTTGTAATTGAACAATCGCGCTCGCGCGCGCGCGCGCGCGCGACGAAAATCGCGTTACAACGCGCGCCCGGATTGAATTTTGACATTTACTCTAACGACGACAGCGAGGATCGTTCGCGTATCCGTTATATAATCTGTGATAACATTCTCCTCTGTGATATCTCTATTATATATTGTACACCTCACAGAGCGCAACATACATATACGATATGCATGCGCGTTTTGCACTGTGATATTTAGTCGCCTAAAACATGTACATCCGTTTACAAATTTACGCTATACATCTATTTGCGAACTTACATTAACGACAGCGCGATCTCCTTCCGAATTACATGAAGACTTTAGTGTTCAATGTACACAGCGGTGTAAAGATTTGTTTTTTTTTTTTTTCGCATTACGGGAATACGTATATCTCGAATGGACGAAAGCACGATCCAGTTTGAATTTTCATTTTTTTTTTCGCGCGTAATTTCGCACGAAAACGTGTAATATGCGTGTAATACGCACTCTATACATTGTATATTCGTAGTATATATATATATGTATATAATCAAAAAAAAAAAGATCGACAACGAGATATAATCACGACAACAGCTGTGAGTGAGGGATAAAAAAAAATGTGTTAATTAAAAATTATAATTAAAAGCGCGAAGTACAAATGGATCTTCGCGTGAATTTTGTGAAAAGCGAGTGGCGATGAGGTCAAAGTGTATATGAGTTTACAAGACGGAGTCACACGTCGAATGAGTTTCATTCGCATAAACGTATCGTAAAGGCCCGTTGACGGATAGCTCAGTCGAAAGAAACATTTGTTATTTAAAGAGAACTATTTACTTCTGCGTAATCGCAATCTAATCTTTCCTTAGGAATGTACTCATTGGTACTTTGAGCAACGATTAGAATTACCGCTTAAGGCAACTTTCGCACACTCTTTTTGCGACTCTGCTAATTTTCGTTTAGACTCTCTATCTTTCTTTCTCTCTCTCTCTCTCTCTGTAGAATTTCTCTTCAGCACGCGAGTTTCCTTCGATTGTTACTTAAATTATTTGAACAGAATAACATTTATTGGAAATATAAGGAAGTCTCTTGTCTCGAAGTGAGGCAACTTTTTTTCCGTATATCAGAGAGCCCGTGTTTTGGCAGCTATTTATCGATAGATTATGGAAAACTTTCGTACACACTCACTCACTCACTCACTCACATACATACACGCACGCACACACGCACGCACGCGCACGCACACGTTCCCTTTCGCTTGTTCGATTCGAACGCATCATCGATGTCAGCAAGAAGTGTACACGCGACAACATCTTCTTTTCTCATTTTCACTTGGCAGTATATAATCTCGTAAACTTCCGCACTTTCCGTCACATATACATACGTGACGCATTTCGTTTTTTTATCTAAAAATTTAAAATTCGTTTTACACACGTCGCACGTTTAAAATTTCCAACGTTTTATTTTGTGCGTACTCCACGAGCGAGAGGGATCGCGTTTGACGATAGATTCGAAGAAACGTGAAAAATATAACAGTTCGCATTTTTTTTTTGTTCTCCTTCTGAAAACAAAAGCGTTTAAAGCAAAGTTAAAAAGGGAAGGGAGGAAGATAAATTTTAATTTAATTTAATTTAATTAACGGCTACTAACGCGCGAAAGAAATGGTTTTAAGACACAGCCCTAACGTGTTTTTTTTCTTTTATACATGACGTACTAAGAAATAGGACTTTCTAAAAAGACCTTTGGCTTCCTTTTCCAGAAACGAAGCGTCGTCGACACGTCGTCCGCGCGCATCCCCGTGTAAAACGCGGACACTTCCAAACTTAACAACAATACTATTCGCTGCCGAAGTATGTACAGTCGTACAGGAACAAACCCGCGAATCTGATCCTCGAGAGCTCGTGCGGAGTTTCCCGTCAAATTTTCGCCATTTCATACGACGAGACGAGAATAGTCTGTGCTAGCACGAATTACCCTCCATGTTATCCAACAAGGAATTCTTCTCTTCCTTTTTTGTACTATTGCTTCTTGACATCCCGGCATTTCGTAATTTCGGTTCGAAACACGGCTGCAAAAGAACGAAAGTGTTCTGTTATCCTAGCGTGTATATTGCTGCGCCGATTTGTGTCGTATTTTTTTTTGTGTGTGTGGAAATAAATGGTTGAATCTTGTACTTGTATAGAAACTTAAAAAAAGATTTTACTCGTGCGTGCAGATTTCTTTTTTCTCGCCAAACGTATCAAATCGTCATTGTTGCGACATTCAATAAACGAGCGTAATATATATTAGTTTTCAGCGTGTGTGTCACACAAAGGGGCGTCTTTGTAGGAAGTCTTATTCTTAATATAAATCGTCATTTGTTCTCAGACAACAACAAAAACAACACAACGGACACATGTCTTGTATCTCTCTCTCGTAGAGCCGGGCGCGAAAAACAAAGTCGTAGCTCTTGTCGTTATCGCGCTTAATTAATTTCACAGGGGAAATCAAAGAACAATTCAAGCGAAAAATAATACAATAAAATAGATCAACCTTGACAGAACTCAATCATTTGGACGTGCGAACGCATGAACGGCGCGCATAGAACGGTCAAAGATAAGATAAGCCTAACTCTTCGCCTCCTGTAATTGTTTTGAGAGTTATTTAAAGAGTTAGCGAATCGATTAGTTACTTTTTACGATCGGCAAAGTGAGCGAATTTCCAAGAAATATCGCTGAAACAGTGGAACGCGAAAAAAATTATTTAATAATTTTTCAAGTTTTACACATGTCTTGTATATATCGTCACTCCCTACGTATAATTACATAAGTGTCACATATGGGATTTTCAGTTTATTGCATAATGACACTTAGAAAGTCATGTTCTTTATGGTCACCAAATATTTAAAAAAAATATTCATAAATAAGGTACAAATTTGAAACCGAAAGATCCCTAACTATAGGGAAACATATGAAGCTTTATACTTTTAAACTGCTCTCCTCTAAAATTTGCGTTTTGGAGTTACGGGATTATACGTAGGGAGTGACGATATAAGAATACTAAGAGAAAGAGAGAGAGAGAGAGAGAGAGAGAGAGAGACAGTCACTTGTATACACTCGCATTCATTCGAGCCCGTACTTATAACCGTGTATTTCAGCTGAGGATTCAGGTGAAACCTGAGATGCAATATGATTCAATAAGCGAATCTCAAGATACGGTTTGATACTTTGTAATCGCGATACTTGTAATCAATTGAATAGATATATCAAATTTGTGCTTCAATATACAACCTGAGTTCTGTCTCGCACGGTAGATTTTTTGTGCGAGATTTACGTGACGACTATAGATACGGGCCTTCAAAAAAATGAAGAAGCTACAGTTAATGAAAAAAAAAAAAAAACAACAAATGCTTTTAAATTCAATTATCAACAGCGTAACAAAACAACACAGTGCAATACGCAATCTACATGTGAATAAAGCGCGCGCGTGCGAATGAGATGATTACGTGTGTATATATATACATACATACACATATATATATACATGTATAATTTCTTGATTTATCTGTTCTTTAAATAAACAAGCACTTGAAGAAAAAACCCAAATAAAATAAATACCCAAATAAAATAATACCCAAATAAAATAAAACACAATTAAATCAATTAATAAATAATTTTTTAAAACATACTCCTGATATAATACTGTGCAATACTGCTTTGCGATTAAAAAACCATCAACTTGACAATTCTTTCAGTGACAAATGTCGGAAGTGTTCCCTCGTTTTTTTTTTTTTTTTCAAATATGAGACTCACAGAAATACGAATAACCTAAGAATTCGTATTTACATTACACATGCAATCTCTTGTCAATTCAAATACCGTTTTAACTAAAAGCATAAAAACATTCATCGGTGGTCCCAAAATAAAAGCGGTAGCTCCGGATGGGATGTTCAAATTTGCATTATGAGATCTAAAAATAGCTCACACACATTGAGATTCGAGTCATGCGATCGAATGAGCTTTATAAAAAAACGGAAAGTGTAAATGGCATTCCCTTTAACAATTTGTTATATAAATATTTAGATAACATGTGTGATAAATGTGATCTTGAACTCAAGGCAAAGTGCGAGATGTGAGAATGATACGCGCTTCAAGATTCGCTCTTGAACGAACTTTCTTCAACGAAACGCTGACGCGACCAACGCGCGCTATCAATTTCACGCGGCGTTATTTGTATGGCGTTTCACTCACAGTTTCGCAAATATTCATGTTGCAGCAATTCTCTATGGTGATTTCGCACTGATCCGATAACTGCGGCCTAGATGTGAGCGGCGTCACGCCCTTTCCTACCACGAAGCGCTTCTTAACACGTCGTCTCCGTAACACACTCACGTAATAACCAAGTCCGGCGATTATTAGAAGTAGCAGAGCAATGAGAGCTAGGAATATCGACAGCAGAGTACTGGCTTGGAAACTATCGCTAAGAGTGATTCTCTCAGCTGTGCGATTGGCATCTGTACACCTGTGTTCACACGAAACAATCACGATATTTATATAATCTGTGGGAAGATACTTAAAAAAATACATATTGCGTCTGTTTTAATTAAATTATAAATATTAATAGATTTCAAGCAATAAAATAGCGAAAAATTCGATTTTAACTTCAAGAAGTTTGAGGCAAAAAGATCATATTTTAAAATATTTTTTTATCTTTCAGTTATTTGTAAAGAATAATCTATTTGGAAAAAATAATACCGGAAATGTTGTTAGATATCACGTGGCACAGAATTGTCGATTGTTGCAATTGCGAAAGACGTGAGTACGTACCTGCAGGACGTCACGCTGGGCATTGTTTCGCGATCGCTCGCGCAGTATATCGCGCAGATCGTCGCGATATCGTTCGGCTCCTCGCATCGAGTCCCTTTGGAGTATTTACAACTGCACTGCGGCTTTCCCTTCTCGATGGAACACTTGCCGTCGTGAAGGCAATATCCGTCGCAAACGTCCTTTTCGCAACGGGCGCCGCTGAACGAACCCGAACACAGGCACTCGGGATGTTCGCGATGATTTATAAAACATTTACCACGAAGGCAGTAATTGTGACAGAGAGAAACTTCGCAAAAGGATCCGACGAATCTGCAAGAATAATTCGAGTTCTCAAAGATGCTCAATTGCTATCACGTTTTGAATTTTAATCAATATTTTATGCTCTCTCGGGCGCTACTCAAATATTCCGCTACAATATCTTTACTGACTATTGAATAATTCATGTCGACAATACAACTACTTTTTTTAAGACACATTCGAATTACAAACTTTGTCCCGAGTATACAATAATAATAAGTTACTATCATCGCCGAGCGATGCAAGTGTTAAAATATTTCTGACTTCCAGATTATCAAATGTTCGACTTATATCAGCAACGTCTACTTTCAAATGCTTAGATTTTAAAATAGCATATAAAGCTCAGCAGCTCACTCACCCTGATTTGCATCGGCACTTGCCGTCTGTTTTGTTCAGATGGCCGTTGTTTAGGCAGTATTTGGAGCTCTCGGTGGTCAAATCCGAATCCTCCGTGCTGGTGATCAGACTATTGAACGACTGATTGTTTCTTGTCGTCACTTGTGAAGCCGATAGACTTTTCATCTTGTTCATCTTTGACAAAATTGCCGCGCAATCGATAGTGCCTATATTGTCGCGCGTCACGATTCCGCTTGGATCAGCGGTTCTTCTGGACATGTAGTACGACTTGAACTCCTTCGGCTCGCCGACCGTCGCGTTCTTTGGCAGACTCCAGACCGCGCTGTGCACCCAGTCGGACCAATACACCAATTCGTCATCAACCGCCAGGTAGACCGGCTGCTGATGCGTGCCGTGAATTAGCAACTCCCGCTCGCCGCCGTCCAAGTTGCTTCGCTCGATCTTGAAGTGTATCCCCTCGACGTCGTCGATCCAGTACATCTTCTGTTCCGCTTGATCAATCGTAACCGCCAGTGGCTTATACAGTCTTTCCTTAATAACGATTATTCGATCGCTTCCGTCGAGATTGGAACGCTCAATACTGGCCTTCTTCGTGTTTACCCAATATATGTGACTGGAAAAGACCGGAATAGAAGATTCGCGATTATTTATCGATTTCTGGTTTTCTTCTGTTCCTTATTTTTTCCTTATTCTTCAGAAAAAACCAAAGAAGTATCAAGTTCGAAATGTACACGAGTACAAGTGTACATTTTCGCGCATTAATGACTTTTTCGAAACGACGGAATTTCGAAAAAGACTCTTTCTGCAAAAAATATGTTTGACAACGCAAATTACAGGTATTGAAAATTCTGGCGAAAGCACGTTTTATATCTCAATTCTTTCAGATTCATTTGAAACGTTGAAGGTTTTGTGTTCAGCACCTTCAGCTTTTTTTTTTTTTTTTTTTTTTAAGATACCTACGCTGACAACGCAAGAGAGCGATTTTGTACTGCGAACTGCTGCGATAGCTAGCTCGTTACGTGAGACATCTCCGTCTCGCTCTCTGTTTCATTGCGCTCTTACACAGTCTAAATCTTTCTCGCATTGCATTTTGTTACACTTATGTGTGTAATAAATTGATTTTCGAGTTATAAATACAAATTGGAAATTTGAAGAATAACAAAGTTTTAAAAACAAAAAAAAATTGAGACACCGAGAACTGCGAGAGATGACACGTAGATTATTCTCTGCGATTTTGAGAGTTTTTTAATTATTTTGGTTCCCGCATTGTGTAATTTATGTTTTTTTTCGATTGTCACTCGGACTGTGCGATGAGATAAGCGACGGGGAGGAGGAATCCCCGTGACGCAGGATATCGCAAATGGCACACCTGTTACACACGTCGAGGGCGACGCCACGTGGACTGTTTCCGGCGAGATTGTGCAGAACGACGGGACTGCTCGGTTCACCGCTCTGCGACACGTGCATCTTCGCAATAGTCTCGTTCAAAGCATCGGCCCAAAACAAGGTGCGTGACTCCTTGTCGAACACGATTCCCATTATGTGCATTCCGTCCTCTTCTACGCACAATTAAATCCGAGATTACGTGTATTATACATGCTCCTCGTATGTGCGAGTGTTTAATACAAATTAATACTAATAATACATATATGCGTAGTTGTTTTTAATAGATACACGTTTTTATCTTGGTGTCATATTTTACAAAAAATTCACAAAGAGGAACAATATTACGTCAGCAAAAAAGAAACACGTTTAACGTTCATATATATATATATTATATATATCTTTCGAATTCGAAGAATCGCTGACATTTATTTAAACAATGACGTTGATGATGACGTTGATGATGTGTGTTAAAAACCTCCGCATGGAGAATCTTTTTGAATTATGCATTATTAATCTCCGTTGTAAAAACCGGTTGAATAGCAAAATAAGCAAACGCAGTCACGATGTTCCACACGTGATTTTGTCAGCGACATTTTATATAATTTCGTGACACAAGTTAGCAACCGTTTGCGTAAAACCTTCGCTCATTTTAATTTCATCTCATGTGTACTCACTTTTCAACAAGGATGTCATTGTGAAGTTCTCCTTCTCCGTAAGATCGATGCTGAATATAGCCACGTCTTTATTGTCTACATCGGACAAATACATCGTTTTAGTAGTATCGTCGTATGTTACTCCGGCCAACGAGATAGCGTCTCCGACGTTGGCGTGACCCGTCAGAGTGCTATTTCGTCCGAAAAAGTCGATTTCGTTGCCGATCACCACGGCTAAGTCTGTAAAAACAAAGGCAATTTGAATTTTATCGCTTAGAGTTTTATCTTTATTCATTTTCAAAGCAAAACTGCAATTAAAATTAAATTATTTTTCTTTGTTTTACAATAAAAATCAGCGTTAAAACGAGCGATAATTGTCGAGTTGTCGCTACCTTATCTCAGTCGAAAATACTTGCGAGCGCAAAACAAGTAGGTAGGATCGGAATAGATCTGTTATTTTTTAAAGGAATTTTTTTCACGCGTTATGTATCACGAGATATAAACATTGCAATCAGCTGATCTCTCTATAATCAACATATTTTTCTTTCAATAACATGTTACAACATCGTAGTTATTTTCAGATGTTGTAAAAAAAATAGGACATATATCAATGTCAAGAGTTTTAAAAACATAGTTTTGCATATTTTATTATACATATGTATGCAATTTTTATTTCTATTATTTTAAATTATTCCACTATTTGTTCACACGCAAATCAAATGCGATATTGTGCAAAAAATGTTTTTGCACAACACACAATTTTTACAACGCAAACATTGTTTTTTTCACAATTACAATGCAGTTTTATCAATGATAACTGTCTCTCTTGCAACGAAGCAAAGTGAAAACTCATCTAAGAAAATAAAATCATCAGCTGAGTTGTGCTTTATCAAGTCGATATGCGTTCGTACTCCAACACGCGCGCGAACGCGTGAACTTTACGTTATGCGAACACTTCAAAAATCATTTAATTTTATATATATCTGTCGTCTCTCTATCTCAACGCCGTTAATCTGCGATCGTCGATCATTAAGATCACATTTTTACGTCGCTTCAAATAAAACGAAGTTCAAAAATCGCAATCTCTTCTCGCGATACGCGCGCGTGTATCTGACAACTTTATATTTTCTCAGGCATGATAATGAGAAATCTTGCAGAATGGAATTTAATGAAGCAAACAGACGGAATATAAGGCCCAATCGTTACCGATAACAGAGTTAATTAGCAAGATAAGTGGATTGATTATAATTGTGCTTCTTTTAAGTGTTTCTTTTATATTTATTCAAACGCGACCAATATCTCGTTGTTATTAATCGTTGGGGGGGGGGGAGGAAGAGAGAAATTTGGACAAAACAACAACTTCATCGCAAAATCGATATACAAAAAAGCTGAGGACATATTGGCAGACGTGCGTAAAAATTATATCATTCTCAAAGAAGATCGCGAAAACGTTTCGATCTTTATTTTCGATTTTACGAACAAGGAGTTGGTTTTTTCCGAGCTACTAAAACTAAAAAAAAAAAAAAAACCGACATAAATGTTTACAGGCATTATTCCAAGTATTCGGTGCATTAACATGTAGATCGGGAAAATATTCTAATTGCTGTGTGTGTGGAGGTTTTGCTTCGAAGTACACGTGCAGCTTCGCTAAATGCAAATTTAAAATTTATCGTGAGCTACAATCGGAACAACAAATTATTTGCGATTACGAGACATTGACGCAAACAACTATCGCGAAGATTTCTAAAACATTCTAACGCATTCTGACGTATTTTGTGTGTAAATTTGTGGCGTCAATGTAATCACATGATCGAGAACGCGACCGAGAGAGAGTTTATAAAGTTTTGACCTACAATTTATAAGTTTATCTAATGTTTATGAGAAACTGTCTATTTCTTTTATTTTTCTTTCCGCAATAAATGAGCAGGAAAATGTCGCAATCAAAAATGCTATATCGCAAGAGACAAAGAACGTTTTAGCGATAAATACTTCGTTAAGTCGCAAATGGTGTTCGCAATATGTGTTCGGAAATATATTCAACACGTTATATCTATTGCCGTGTTTTACATTTGAGATAAAACAGTATCTTGAAAATAAGAATATACAACATGAATATATTATTACATTATAATGAAACGTACGTAACATAAATCTTTGATCGAAAAAGTATATCGTTCGTTTAAATGTTCTGGAAATTTATATCGAAGACTTTTCTGAAAGTCGCATTTTTCCGATATTTGCATTTTTCTTTATACAAAGTTCCCGAAAGACATTGTTATTCGCATAATTAACGAAGAATTGGAAATGCGCGAACTTTCTCGATCGAGTCACCTTATCGCAAATGTATGAAAATTAAGTTTGCACGTGCGCTTCAATACGTCTTTTATTTTATTTACGTTTCACATAAATTTTGCGCGTACCGCGCTTTATAATTAATCGTAATTCGTATTTATCGCCTATGTAAGAATTTCAGTCGCTGCGCGATAAAGCGAAAAGAGCCGAATCTCTGTTCTCGTGATAGCGCGACGAGAAGAATTTTGCATTTCTTTTCATACTTGTTGCGTTTTTTTTTTTTTTTTTTATATCTGCAATATTTTTACGTATTTAATATATTGATCGCCGTTCGAAAAAATCGCGGGGAAGTTGACAGCGCGCAACTGATAACTCGAAATCTTCAGGTATCAAGTTATCAGCCACGCTCGAAAGCCCATAAAACGCAGTCGATATCGCACTTATCATTTTTTTTTTGCAAATTAAAATAAACATTGGATGATGCAAAAGCGGAACTTCTTTGATTGCAAAATAGAATTTATGGGTTGCATAATAAGCAGCGTCAAAGATGCACGTCGCGACGACGTTCTTCCTACACCGTTACGTAATTTTATTATTTACTCCGTATCTCCGTCCTATCTATTTACTTTCCAATGATTTTCGTGTTGTTTCGTCTACGATTTGATCTTCAAACTACCGGTTTCGTCCCGAGACGAAATAACAATCAACACGACATATAGCGCGATATTATGTATTGATTGCGTCCTTATTACGTGACACGTATTAATAACGCGCGTTGCGCGCGACAAAAACTCTCATAAATGTTCAAGTGCCAATTGATTTCTCGATTATGCACGCTCTCTCTCTCTCTATTTGTCCGCGTGCCGTGTAAACCAGGAACCGATTCAAGGTGCGGCTTCGTGTGTAACTTCCTGTTACATATACCGTTGCCGCACACACGATAAGGTCGTACAATCACACACAATCTCTCTCCGATACGCGCTCCGGGTCGAAGAAAAAAATCGCGCGCGCGACTCTCGCCGCGAGTCGCCGCGCACGACCTTAAACGTGACCGCGAAAAAGTCGCCTCAAAATACGAATTTTCACGATCGGCGACGCGATCGCGACAACCGACCTGTCTTGCCCGTAACTTTCGCGAGCATCGCGATCCGTCCGCTCTCGTTTCCCATTGATGTTTATGTGCGCGCATATACACACACATACACACACACACACATGCAATGCGCGAGAGCGCGCGCGGTCGTCACCCTTGGCCGCGCTCTGACATTCGTTACGTAAAACAGGTGTAAGGACAGCCGATGATTTTTCGCGACCGATCAACGTAAGATCGGCCGATTCGTGACGGTGTCACGGGCCGCGTTTCGTCGTGACGTTTCATTCAACTTTCGTGCGCATTTCGTAGATGCGCGCGAAAAAGCGGTACGCGAAAAGTGGCGTACGTGACGAGCGGCAGCGAGTGAATGGAGTCGGCGCTGCTCCACCGACACACGCGCGCACGGCCACATGGACGGGCACACGGACACCGGCGCGTCTCGGTGTGGTAACATCACCGATGTGCCCGATTCTCCGTGCAACACGGCGATTTAATCAGCCGCTAACACCGGCGCGACGTGTCGAACGATCGCGCACGATATCTCGTACGTACGTGCTTGTCACATGTATCTCATGACTTACCCCACGACCTGGCGCGTGTCAAGACCGCAAAGGTGCATAATAACAGTGTGCATGACAGAAGGTACCGCGTCTTAGTGAAGATCATGACTGACGATCATTTGGTAATCACGTCAATGAATTACGAAGCGGCGGAGGAGGACCGATCGGGCTACAACACACGACGAAGACGAATCACCGGGGATGACTGTCGCTTTTCTCTCACGAGCGTGTGCTAGAAAAACGCTTTGTACACGTGGTCACTCGTCGGCCGCCGTGCGCGAACTGAAGCCGCGGAACGAGAGAGAAGTCTCGCGAACCGGCTGCGCGCCACGAAGGCCGAGAAGCGCCGTAGACGCCAGTAGGCGGTGTTTAACCCTAAAGAGCAAAGTGTCATTACGAATTTATCAAGTCGCATTGGCCTCTGCATTTACTTGTAAATAATGGGAATTCCGTTAATAAAGAAAACATATTTTATGATAAGAAAACACACATTCGGTAAAATTCTCACACAGAACACAACGGGGAAAATCCGCGATATATCTTTGATTTTTTCTTAATACAGCGATTATACTAGAAAGATTGCTATTTTTTTTCTATATCTCATTGCCTTCGAAAAGGAGTTTAGAAGAAGTTTATTTTCTAATGGTTGGTCGTTGGGATCTTAATTTTGTGCGATTGTCAATATCGATCACTTTGACAGCTAGTCAGTTGAAATTCAGATTGTCAACACAATTGGATCGTGTATCGTATTAATTATAATAATATATTCCTGACCTGTACTGCGATCCGACTCGAACGAATTGTTCGCGACGGATCATAAGATCGTTCTGTTAATTTTCTCATAAAGTCGCGCGCTTAATCGCTAATTGGTGCATTACCGCGCGATTTATTAAACATAATTGATACGTCCACACATTGTTTGCATACGTCGCGTTATGATCTATCACTCCGAGAATAATTTTTCACACACGAGAAAAAAGTTATCTGCCTCTTCTCAGCGCGAAGAAACGCATATTTTCTATTAATTCAACAAAAGTTTCCTCATATGGAGGACGTACTTAATGAATTATTAACCATTGGTCTTTGGTGAGGGACATTTACTTTTTGTTTTTGTATCTAGCGAAGTGTCGAAGAAATCGGATACGAAATCGATCGTTACGCTACTGTGCACTTGCGCGCCTCAGCTTGCGGCTCTTGTGACAGGCACGCGCCAATTTTCTTCGTTTCTTCATTTCAACCCGAATCCTCACCACTTCCTATTCAGGAGTGTAATACGAATACAAAAGCTTTGCTGTCCTATAGTTTTGTGTAACTCGTCGAAACTTTTGCAATACGATGAAACAGACAAATGTGCGTTCGAGTTTGTTTCCATTAACGTATCTTAATTAATACACTTTTTTTCAAAATATCTTTCTTCTAATTGTAAAAGAAACAGTTTTGAATTGATTTTAATAACAGAAATATGTGCGAAAATAAGAAAACAATTCTTCTAGATAGATTTTTTATTAAAAAATTTAAGATATTCAGTTGATGGAGTGACTTCTCTTAAACTGTTTTAAAAACAAGCAAGTTTGAAAATATCTAACATTAATTTAAGTTTCGTGTAGCAGCACATTTGTTAAAAAAAATTTAAAATTTTGATACAAAATTTTATAAAATATAAATTATTCTATTTAAACACGCAAAAAGTGGTTCCAATCCACCGCTGATAAGCAATTTGTATGTTTTTTTCTTATCAGAGTGTGCTATGTTATCGACTCATGTTAACTTCTGATATTTCTTTATTACATAAATATATTTACGACATTTTCGATCTCTCATATATAATTTTAAACATTAATAATATGTTACTTTCGTAATTTTATCGCAAGAAAAATTAAAGTTTTTTCATAAAATATTATTTTAGAAAAACATCTTGTCCGACAAACTAATTCACTTTCCGAGAAAGTTATCGTAAAAAAAACATGAATTGAGCAAAAGAAGTAGCATAAAATTAAATTTTAATTAAACTATATAAAATATAACATATCTCTCTCTTCCTCTGAGAACTATCAAGTGCTAATGTCATGCGCACTATAGATGCAAATAGAGCGTGTAAGTCGAGGGGAAAGTCGAGAAAGCGAGAGTCGGCGCGGGAAGATCTCCTAGTTCAAAAGATTCCTCTTGGATAATGTTCGCTGTGATGCGAAGTGTGTACTCCGGAAGAATAAAAATTGTACGAACTAATATTTTTTTTGCGCAAGCTGCACGGATTATTCTCTGCTGCGCAGAGATTATTTCTAACTTAATATGAATAAATAATCAGTGAATTATTCTTAAGAAATAATTTTTTTATTCCAACCGCTCATATTGCAAATTCTAATAATGGCTGTAGCAAATGCAATTACTTATAAATTTTATAAGAGTAATTGTATTTTTTCTTTTTTTCATATTTCAATTTTCCATCGATTGCACTTCTGTGGAGAAAAATAAAAGATTCTTAGATAATCAAAGTCTTATTTACACAACGGTTTCGACGGTGACGCGTTTGCTTTCGCGAGATTTATACATCCGGGATATTTTCGATCGGAAAACGCGAGGAAACGCGTACGTCGCTCGGCGGAAAAGCGCTGGTGGGAAAAGCGAGCGGAACGACGACGACGCCGAGTACTAGACGAACAAGCGGGCAAGGCAGGCGGCGGCAGCGGTGTATATTATTGATCAATAAGAGCGGCTAGCATGAGGGCGACCCATGCCGGTGGCGGCCAGCTGTCACTTCCTTCGGCCTTTTTACATCGCACACGCGCGGATACACGCGCTCGGGCGCCGCGCGCGCGGAACCGTGTTCCCGGTGCCTGGCAACCGGCGGCACCGCAGGACATCCTCGCGATCCTGTCGCTCCTGTCTCCTCCGACCTGGTCCCACCGAGAGTGACCGGGATAAGCGTCGGCGTGTTGCGTGCGTGAAAGAGTGGCGCGTGTGCCTCGAGAGTACGAACCGAGCACGACGACGCGAACGAGTGTACGCGCCGCTGCCAGTCTCGCGAGCGCTCACGTCTCTCTCGCCTCTCGCGGAAAATACACAAGGCAAAGGGTGAAACATCAGCGGGGGGTTTTAACAGCGAGGGAGGTGAAGAAGAGAGTAAAAGAGAGAGAGAGAGAGAGAGAGATAGAGTGAGAGGGTGCGCACAGGGTGGTGAGAACAAATAGAGGAAGAGAGACAGGGAGAGACCGACGTGCTACGACATGTGTCTGTGCTGAGGATCGTATTCCCCGACCTAAGGGTGCACCCTGAACGAAGGGAGACCGGCTCTGACGGCGGCAAAGAGAAGGGTGAGAGAACACGAAACGGTGAAAAAGACGGGCAGAAATTTCTGCGTGCGTCGTCGCCTTCGGGGCTATCTCGCCGTCGTCTACGCGGGACCACCGATGCAGACCTTACGGAAAAAAAACAGTCCGTGCAAGTGTGAGTAAAGGGTCGATTCGATCCGCACTTGTGCATGGAGTGCGTGTGTGTTTTCACGCGTGTGAATTTCCTCGCGACTGCGATTTCGTCACGATTTCGTGTCTTTCTCGAATTGCTTTCTCGTCATTTATCCGCGATGTTTCTGGTACCACCCTGTAGATTTGTTAGGGGTGGTTAGGGCGCTCCGTTGTAATATGGCTTCCTCGCGTATTTTGCGACGAATCGTCTCGGCTGTTCTCCGTGCTTTGCATCGAGTTTCATGCGGGAGAGAAAGAGAGAGAGATTGCTACGCAATTCGGCATGATTGACGCATCCCGCTCTTAAACATATGCAGCATATGAAGGCCGCGGAAAATGAGCTTTATTAGTCGCTCGAGCGGCGAATTTTGCTCGCGCGAAATGCGCGAGATCGGTCTCTTTAACGTGAGCGTTACCGATCGAGCGGTGTTAATACTGATGACGGTCGCGGCGCGTGTCGTCATCGTCGGAAGATGTCGACAGCTGTGCCGTGCGCGTGTTCGAGATTACTACTGGGTACGAGTTTAGAGGGCAACGTGAAAGCGATGTTTTTTAATTTTTTTTTTTATTCGATTAAACGATAATTGTCTTAAGAAAAATTAACGTAGAGAAGAAACTTACTAAATAAAAAAAAAGACACTTTTTTCATTAGTAAAAATTTATGAAAATTTGCGATTTATTTATTTCTGTTTCTCTATCTTCTTTCTCTCTCTTCTTTCAAATCCTTGACATTGCTTTTTAAATGACATGTTTGTGAAATACGTGAGAAATACGTTTGCTACAAATGAGAGACGAAAATAAAAAACTAGAAGTGGCTAAATTAACCGCGAGAGAATGCAAGTCATACAAGCAGTTACCTAGATGAATACGCTTTTCTATGCAACTTCTTCATGAGTCACGTCAGTTGACAGCAATTAATCATTCCGTAACTCGGTTCCTCGATTACAGTTGAATTTAATCGCGCGTGCGCGTTGTATATAAATTAATCACAAATTGACATTTACACATACACACACAATCAACATCTTGTACCAAGCGTACGCGTGATGTATATATATATATATGTATATTTAAACGAGTCAAGTTTCGACAAAAATGTCTCTCTTTGTTCCATTGTTACGTGTCTTGTCTCGCGGAGCCGCAATAATAATTGTTGTGAAAAAGAGACGCGAGACGAGAGAGGGCCGAGAGCGCGAAGAGAGCGCATCTGGCTCTAAAGAGCAAGGAGAGACGGAAGGAGCGTGAAAAAAGCATTTCGAGATTGGTATCGCGGCAAACGTGTATATACTTTCGAGTATCGACAGTTGGCGTTCCCCACTCGAGAATCTGACGAGTACCTTCGGAACAATCGGAGACGGTCATTAAAAATCGTAGGGGCAGCGAGAGAAGCAGCACTGAGAGAGAGAGAGTGTGTGTTTTTCTGCGCTCTCTCCCGGTGTGTTATTTAAATTTTTTTGTCAGATTTATTCCTCTCGTTCGAGTATAGCTTCTCATCAGCTGAAGTTAAAACTTGTGTGTGCGCGCGCGCGCGCGCGCTCGCGCGAGCAAATATATGATTCAATTGTTTCTTTTCGAGAGAGGAGAAACAGCGCAATAACGCGTGTATTCATTTACATTCACATTCTGATATTTACAAATGAAAAACTAAATTAGTTACATTCATTATAACTTGTACTAATTACTTTTGTTTTTGATTACGTCAAAGCCGCGAAGTTAAAACCGAAACACGCGCGCAACTCGCGCGTTTTGGCGTTGCTTTAAATATTTGTCACCGCGCTACGTTGTTAATCCATTAGCCAAATATTGGCACTTCCGCTTCCAGAACCGAATGTCACAAATGACATGCATTATTATCGTAGCTAAGCTGTAAATATATACGTTTCGACCCAATTATCGGTTTCCGTTCCGAACAATTAATTTTAACGCCGGTATTCGCTTGTCTGATACGGAGGGATCGTTTTCGCCGAGCACTCGAGAGCTCTATTTCGCTCTCTCTCTCTCTCTCTCATTTTATACTCTCGCCAGTCAAATTGGTTGTATGACCGATCGATATCGGTTTAAATGCATTCGGACCTATCGCCGTCGGATCGCTTCTCGGAACGACCCCCGTGGCTTCGAAATACGATAATTTGATCTCCTTCACGCGAGACCGAGCCGAGCCCACACGTCGCGAAGTTTACAATGAACGTTCTTTACGGTGGCTCGCGTTATCGCGTTACTTCCGCGAGGATTCGCTATACACGCGACATGAAAATCGAGAAAAGAATTTTAAACCTGATGCACAAAGAAGTTGATGCACATCAAATGTTAAATTTAATGAGTGTTGATGATTTTCAGTCAAGAACGACCCAACCCGCTTTCTTGGGGAGGGTGTGTCGTTCAAGGCAAAACTGATTGGTATTTTGGAAGTATCGGAAGCACGCGGTGACCGGATGTGCCAGGCGGCCTTGGCTGACCTGAAGATGGCGATTCGCGCCGCCGGCGAGCACAAGCAACGAATCGCCGTTCAGGTCAGCATAGACGGGCTTCGTCTGAGGGACGAGAAGACCGGGGTGAGTTGCGAAATTATTTATTACACATATAGGTAGTTATGCACATATCGGGTTACACGATTTATGATGAAATTCGTGATGAATACGTTATCCTTGTCAATTCTCACGCAGGACTGCCTGTATCACCATCCGGTTCATAAAATATCGTTTATTGCTCAAGACATGAGCGATTCGAGAGCCTTTGGATATATTTTCGGGTCACCGGACACCGGGCACCGATTTTTCGGCATTAAGACTGACAAGGCGGCGAGTCAAGTAAGTGCGCGCATGTCTTTTATTTCTCGTCTCTCTCTCTTTCTCTCAAGTCAGTATTTTTTTTTTTGTTTTACAACAAAACTTGCTTTTATTGAATTCTCTTGTACGTTCGGTTTAAAGAACCGTGTCACATGCGCTCTCAACAAACACGCGAAAATCTAATTAGGGTACCAGGGACACACAAGACGAGAGAGGCGGCATCGAATTGATTTAGCGGCTTCGAGGGTTATCGATGAGAACACGCACGAGCGATTACAAATTCGCGCGCGAGTTTCTAAACGCGTTTAAAGTATGTCAATTATCCGAGAACGAGTAATCGCGGCGGGATAGTCCGGAGGGAGGGTGGACTGTGACAGAGAGAGGGAGTCTAGAATGATATTTGCCCAATCCGAGAAGCAATATCGACCCCGGGCGGCCGTAATCGCGGACGCGTATGTAAATAATTGCATTACACAGAGCGCGTTCGGGTTCGCGTCGATACTCCCGTCTCCTCGCCGCGGGAGATTGTTGCCGGATTATCCACGGCTCGCTTCATGCGCGTTCAAAGGGATCGACAACTTCTTGATATTCAAATATGCCACACTATATCCCACTTTTGTGCTCGAGCGTGCGGTTTAAACCGCCGACTTCCTTTGAATTTCCTCTTTTCTTTCTCTCGTGTCGACGAAAGAGCGAGAGTAGCAATTATTAGACGCTTATAAATGCGATTGAGAGAAGAATTTTTTGCAAAAATTGTCCGTTAAATCGCTACAAATATATATATCTGAAAATTTAATTCTAATGAATTTTATTGAAATAAAATTAATTTTGATTTTTTTCCCGATCGATGTGTTCTTTCTTATTTTTGTAATATTTTTAATTTATTAAAAAAAATGAAAAGAAAGTTTTTTTTTCTCTTTTTTTTATTGTAACATATACATATGTTTTTATTTTCTCACTTGTTGAGCGAAGAAAGTTCTGTGTGATATAAATTCTATTCCACCGCCGGATATCATTCACGTAATGCATCAGCCACGCAACTTTTAGCAAGATGCGGATGTTAGACGTAAATGCGCGACGAACAGAAGGGAAGTTTATGACGACTAAAATTGGCCGCGCTAAAATCAAGGAATATGTTTAACTCTGTTACGTAGACTTTCGCTCTCGATCACTCGCGGGCCTTCTCAACTCGCTCAACTCAATAGCGACGATTATCGCCGCGAAAATGTAATCAGCTCCGGGGAAGAGCTTGAGCGAGCGCGCGCGCGCGCGCGCGACAGGTGGCAAATTAATTCAACAACCTTACGCCTTCATTCAATTTCCAAGTTTAATTTCTGCGCTCGCCTCCTGTAAACGACTCCGATAATCCCCGCCCGTATATACGGCGGTGGTCGCGTTTAACGCGCTGCTGGAGGTTTTAACCGGCGTGGAATCGGAGCAAACAGAGGGATGACAGGCGCCGACGTCGACGGGAGTGAGGGTGGCGTGAACGATCGGGAATGGGCTTTCGAAAATTACGGTCATCGGGGGAAAGTGGGTAGTAGTTCTCCTGATTTCTCACGATATTTTTCTCGAAAGAAAAGAGAAGATTCATTTAAGCTTCAGAAATTCTTCCGAGATTATCAGTTAATTAAAAATCTAAAAGAGAAACGTCCTCTTTCGCTTTTTCAGTTATAAGTAAAAATACTCAAAATGATATTTTATACAGAAATAAAAGAAAAAAAAGAATAATAGAAAATAATTTCTGTCGCAACTGTCTTACTGATTAATATTTTTCTAAAAATTTTTTGTTAAACCCTGCGTATATTGAACGTATAAAGTTTTGAATAATTTAACAGAGAAAGAGAGAGAGAGAGAGAGAGTTTGCATTTAAGTCACTTTGTGACTTGTCACGGAACTGACGAAAGAAGAACTTTATTTAACAGGTGGTGATAGCGATGCGAGACTTGTTCCAAGTAGTATTCGAGCTGAAGAAAAAAGAGATCGAGTTGGCGAAACAGCACATAGAGCAGAATACCATTAACGCAATTAAATTTCACACAGGCGGTGTTTTCGTTGAGCCGGCGCCCGACACCAAGGTAAATTTAGTCTCTCTCTCGAAATAAGTGCTGCATTCAAGATATGCTAAATCGTTCCTCTGTCAGACGAGTTCCTTTCTCCACCTCACACGATATTTTGTAAATTGCTTTTCCATTTCTTTTCCCGAGCACACATTTTCCCGAAGACGAAAGAGAAAGACCCAAAGACTCGGTGAAATTAAGATTCATTTCGAGATGTCTCGATGGAAAAATCGATCTTGACAGAATTGACGTCGCTGTGGTAACTTAAACGTAACTATCAGAAACTCAGACACCCTGCAAATAATTTAATGTCGCAGGGTGCGGCGGGCACAGAATCCTCATTTCATCGAATTCGCACGACTAACAGCGAGGTCGACAAGCCTGCCGATCGCAAGAACGAATTGCCAGGTGGCGTGATCGCGGATCTGCTGGATCTTCATTTTGAACTAAACTTATTACAGCAGGGTATCCATCTGATGGACAAGATCACGCCGGAGAATCCGCCGCCGTCCGCTGACGATCTGTTCGAGACCGATCCGTTCGGCGATTCCTTCGCGAACATGAAAGTACGGCTTGTTATTGAAAATCTTTTTTTTTTTTCTTTAAATATTTATGAAGACACCGCACGCGAATTGTGATATCGTCAATAATATTGCAGCTTCAGGAGACAGTTCGTCCGATTTTGCCACCGCCACCTTCTTCTTCGAAAAGGGGACATCTGGAGCGACAACACACTGTGCCTGCGCACAGTACCAGCACCGCGTCAACCACATCCAGTCCGGCGACGACGTTAGTGAGTAAAACGCCACCTCCGCAGACTAACACGATACATTGGTTGGAAAAAGAGACCACGGATCTCTTCAACGACAACGAGCTCGCAAATTTGAGTAAGAATTCGACGAAGAAGGATCAGGAGGACGTAAGTGTTACTTTGATTTTCGTCAAATACAAATTTTTCACAAGTTACGTGAAATGTGTCGTTCGTGTTGCAGAGCTCAGTTGAAACCACACCACGCAACACTCAGACGAAGAGCCCGCAGATCGACGTGTTCACGGAGCTGGATCCTCTGGGAACCGGCCTGATCAAGCCCTACGTGGACAAGAAGGACTTCTTTCAACATCTGAAGAATCCGCCGAAGAAGGTACTCAAGGACTTGGTGTCAACCAGTTCCAGCGACAGTTTCCCGACGAACTTCAACATCACGGCCACGATGGAGTGTCTGGAAACTCCGAAGATGATCAAGACGATGCAGAACGATCTGACAACGAGAGACAGCGAGGACAGCAATTTTGCCAACTTCGACCGATTCGACGAGAATGAGACTACCATCCCGAAGAGAGCCGATTCGCCGCCGAAAAAGGAAACGGCTGCAAGATCGATCCATCATCAGCCGCTCTCGGTGTCTTTGCCGCCGGAGGATGTGACGCTGTCTAAAGGACCGATCGCGTCATCCACAACCGCTTCGGGAGGAAGTTCGATTCTTCGCAGCATGGACCGAGACTCGACCGAGTCGACGCACGCGCTGATAAAGTTACCGAGTCCGAAGAAGTATCTCTCATCAGTGCGGAAACGAGACTTCGACATGGAACTGCCAGCCGGAAAAGCGCCGTCTATAAGCGACGCTATGAAGCAATTTCCGATGGACTTCTCGGTGACGAATGAATCGCCAGCTTCGCCGTTGAGGTCCTGCTCGTCGGACGCGAACTCGCGTCTGTCAAGTTCGAGCGCGGAACTGAATCTGGATCTGGTGCCTGAACCACCGCCCAGAGGTGCGGGCAGCGTTTTCATCAATCCACCGCCGCTACCGCCGAAGAAACAAAGCGTCCGAGGTGGCGCGAGACCGCCGCCCAGACCGCCGCACACGGAGGGACACTTCCAGTATGACTTTCCGCAGCGCGAGACCTCGCCGTCACCCACGAAGATCGTCAGAGATAAGAAGAGTCCGCCGAGGGAGATAAAGGGTCAGTTCGACGACAATTTCAGTCCACCACCGCAAATGCCCGTGAGACCGGACTTTATAAGCACGACGACTAGCACCACATCCGGTTTCGATGACTCTTTTAATACGATAATATCGTCCACGACGTCAATGTCGTCGCCCGTGACCAGCAGTAGCGCCGGTCCGATCGCGGATTCCAAGAAGACAAAGCCACCGCTGGATATCACGCTCAGTCAGCTGACGTCATCCTGGACGAATCTGGACGAGTTGGCCAGCAGTCTCGGGATGACCGTACAGGAGCTGACGAGTCTGACTTTGACGCAACTCACGCAATGCCTGGCGAATCTGTCGATGAAGGAGGTCGTTGCCGCGGAGGAATCCGTTCCGCCAACGACAACGACGACCGAACAGATCACAGTCCCGCCTAAGCCTACGCTCTCGTCGATGGCCGCGTCGAAACCGCAGACTACTACCGGTTCGATCTCGACCTCTTTCGTATCATCGGAGTCGTACAAAACCAGTTTTTCCGAAGCGGAACCGAAACAAGATCCCACGTACGACAAGTACGCGGTCTTCAGAGAGTTACTGGAGATGGAGCAAATGAAAGAAGACTCAAAGGTGGAGGAAGCGACGACGAAAGAAGAAGAAGAAGAAGAAGAAGAAAAGGAAGAAGACCAAAAATTTGATACAAGCGAACAGGTTGTCGGCGCTGAAGCGGACATTCAACCGGAAATGCGTAGCTGCGAGACCGCTTCGGATTCGATAACGTCATTGGTGAATTTAACCGTCAAGCTATCGTCGAAGAACGAAGATTTGTTGAGGGAAGAAGCCTCAACGAAGGTCAACGAGGCGACGACCAGCGCTCTTACGAGTTCGACGGAAAAAGAAAAAGAGAAGGAAAAATCAGCGGAAGTTGAAGACAGAGAAGTCGAAAAAGAAAACGAAGTGATAGCGGAAGCGGACATCACATCCGACTCGTCCACGGTTCAACAAACGGAAATAGACGTTGAAGATGATACGGAGAAGACGCAGACGATCATGGAAGCGGAGGAGAAGGCGGACAACTCTGAGAAAGGAAGCGACGCCAACGGTACGTCTTCGGATAAAGTCGGTTCGGACATTCTTAACGACGAAACGAACGGCTCGTCTGTGGCCGAGAGATCGTCGACGGAGATCAAATCTTCGACGTCAACGTCGACTTCGAGCGACAGATACGCCGCTCTGCGGGAAATCATTGGCGAGCCAGAACCAGCGCCGATCAAGAAAGACGACGAGGATGTGATGAGTTCCGCGCGAGCGTCGCCGGTGATACAACCTCAGCAGCCGTCTCAGCAGCCGAAGAATCTGGCCGATCTGCTGAATTTATTCTCAAATCTACCGCCACCGTCGTCGAGCCCGAATATCTCGGCTAAGAGAGAGTCCACCGATCTGAACGCCGTCGCGATGGACATCTTCGAGGAGATCAAGATGTTGAACACAGGCGAGCATCGCGCCAAAGACACCAAACCGCCACCCGCGTCCTCGGGCTTCGAGGATATGTTCAGCCCGTTTTCGGAGACAACGCGACAGGAGAAAGACGACAGTAAAGAGGACAGTAACTGGGCCAAGTTCGATACGGGCATTTTCGTCTCGTCCGATAGATCGTCCTGCGAGGGGCAGCGCTCGATAGGCGGCACCTCGCCGTGGTCTCCGGACGGTAAAGACTTTCACAGAGAGGTGCCGTTCAAAGGCAGCGGCGGCGGAGGATATCGACACTCGGGAGACAGCGACAACGAATGGAAGGACGAAGAGGAGAGCGAGGAAAGTAACGGAAAAGTGCGCGGGGACGGCGGCAGGTTCTGGTCGGGTTCGCGACATCCGCGATTTGACGCGCCGGGTTTCGATGACAGATCATCGTTCTACGAGGACGGCGAGAAGCGCGGAGGCAGCTTTCACGAGAGAATGGACAGAAAGTCCCGCGGAACGCCGTGGACGAAGAGCAGTCACCGTCCGCGCGATCCCTCGCCCTGGCACGAGGAAAGCCAGTGGGATGACGAGGGTCCGAGACGATGTAGAATGCACCGAAAGGTGCAGCCCTACAAGGACGACGAGGATCAATACGAGGCGCACTGGAAGTGTCGGCCGAAACCACCGCCGCAGAGATACAATTGGCCTCATGACGGTCACGCGTACTACGACGAGGAGCGCAAGCGGAAACTAATGTTGTGGAACGAAGACGATCGATTTGGCAGCGAGGAGAGTATGGGATACGACGAGGAGGATCGATGGGGCAGAAGAAGGTACGACAGAAGAAGATGGGAGGAAGACAACAGATTCTGGGGCAGGAGAGGACCTCCCGATGCCGAATATCCCATGAGAGACGCGTATTATTATTATCGCGACAGAGAACGACCACACGACTATCCGTCTTGGGACGAGGAATACGGACCGGAACATCCGGGTGACGATTCGCCTAGGTACAATCCGGCTACTAGGAAAAGACACTGGCCGAAGAGACCTAACAGCGCGAACGACGGTCGTAATAATGACATGGTATACACGGATCCGCGCAAATTCGGCGGTACGTCCAGGTCCGAGTGCAGCGACAACGATTCGGATCTGTATCTGCGATCTTCTCAACGATCCAGAAGTCGCGAGAGCTACTGGGGCAGCGATCAGGAATACGACAGCTGGATGGAGCGGACGTACTGGTCCGAGGGTCCCGATTCGATCAAGAACGAGAGAATGCATCGCAAACGAGTGATGAGGCACAAGACTCGACAGGCGCCGAAGACGCAGAGTCCGTTCGAGGACGATTTCGCATCGAGCGTCGAGCACGTGGAACCAACGTCCGGTCCGAGCACGGTGGAGACTCTGACGCCGGTGGACGGGCGCGTACGACCAGAAATCTCGGATCAGAAGCGCGAACCGCCACCCGCTAGTCCTTCGCCCGGCATCAGAGCTCCGAAAGATCACGGTTCCAGACGGGATGTAAGCAGAGAGTACGGTAAACGGTCGAGCTTCTTCGAGGACGACCTCACACCCACGGCGAGCGCATCCAGCGACGCCTCCGATCGGCAGAGACTGTCGTCCGAGCTTAAAGCGACGCCGGAAGAACTGCCGTGCGACACCGCGAAGGATCCGCAACAACCTATTGACGGTTTTGCATCCGAAGACAGCGGCCGCGATTCCTTCTTCAATGGCGACTTGAGGTTCGACGACGACGCGTTCGTCTTCAAGTCCGAGTTGGAAGACAACGTGCCGGACCACCGGGCCACCACGTTGCCGCTGAAGAACACCCGGCAAGGAAAATACGGTCCGGGAAATAACAATAACAATAACAAGACAGCCAGGGGCGATCAGTACATCCGAAAATCGGAGTCGGTGAACATCTTTGCGAGAGAGAGCGATCCGTTCGATGGCGATGACTTCTTCAATTAATTCGTGACGGAGAACAAGATTCGCCAAGAAACCTCGCGCTAAATTCAGTGACGCCGGTGTGAATTAGACAATTGGAAGATAAATATTTGATGAGAGAAAGAGAGACCACGGTTTTCGTTGCACACTCGAAAAAAACGTCGGCGGATCGTGAAAAACTCGGTGGAGTCCATGATACTTTGTTCTTATCAAAATTTCCGACTATAGCGATTTTAATATAGCAAAAGTAAAAAAGAAAAAAGAAAAAAAGAATTTTAAACGCGGCTCGAATGTTTCAGATAAATGTTTGCTGTGCTTGTCTCATTTCACACAATTCTTTCGAGATAAAAAAAATCTCATCCTATAAACGTTGATTCAGAAACTAAAATTGTTTTTTTTGCGCGACGTATTGTTTCAATTAATTTGTTTTAATTTAGAATCATCTTTGTTTACACCTACGTCTTCGAAAAAGATCTTTCGACTGAAAATTGCCGATCATCAATCTTTCGTTCGAAAGTTTCCGACGAATGACATTTTTGAAGCAAAACACACACTATTTCACACACAGAAAACTAGTCATTGTTCTAACAAATAAATCTGTACATATATAATATTGTTGCTGTATCGATTAAGATTACTTCGTCGATAAAAAAAAAAAAAGAAAAAAAAAAGAAAAAAAAAAGAAGAGATAATTTATTATAACTGTGAATTACGTATGTAATTTGTAATTATATTAATGTTGTTTCATGTATTTTATTTAATATATATTCGGTTTGTACGTGTGCATTTATTGCGAGAGACGACAATTTCGCGGGAAAAACAGTCAGCGCGAGTTTGCGAATGTGTGTGAAGAGTCTCTAAGTAACTTAGTTCAAAAACGAGAAATTCTAGTCACGTGTGCGTCCGGGAGCTACGCGAGAGAACAAAACTGATATAGTGCGTTTCGGGAAGAAATCAAAAAACATGATTTTTATACATTTTTAACTAGCACGAACTACCGATTACTTACTTTGCAATTAGACGTTTGTACACACAATCGACGACGACACATTCTTCCGCGAGCTCCCCCTCGATTTGGTTACGCTGCTGATAAATTGCATGGGAGATGTGAAGGATGGGCAGAATTATGTTTACACAAAAAAAAAAAAAAAAAAAAAAAATGAGATTATGTATTTTAACTCTTTTTTTGTTCGTCGAACCTTCAGCGACTAGTACGATTCAGAAACATAAAAAATTTTATATTACGTACATATTTTATTTAATTATGTACATAAGATTGGAGTGAAGGAAAAAACTCTTCAAAAAATAATAAAAAATAAGTAAATATAATATATTGTGAAAAATATAAATAAATAATGTGGTCTTTTACATCTCTTTTAACATTATCGATGATTTTTATCATTAATGTACATATGAAAAAAAAAAAAAAAAAACATATCGTCGAAAAGAGAAAATGTCAAATATGTTGTAAATATCATGACATAAATGGATTCCAATTATTATTCGACGTATTATTTTTATTTACGTGAAATGATATATAAATTGTTTTTTTCTTTTCTGGTTCACTCCAATCTTAAAATTCGCAATTCTCTCCGCCGATCTATTTCCATAAATTGCATTGATGATGAAATATAATTTTATGCTAATCACACCGAATGACAGCGATTACGCCGACATTTTACACTGTATGTATTTGTGTAATAATAGTAGTAAATTATTTATCAACGCGTTTAATGTTTACTCGATACTGTACTTTAACTCTAACGAGTATGCGTCAGAATGATAACGACAATACCATTTCAAAATGGCAATTCAAATCCTTGTTCCCTTCCTTTTGAACAATTTGTTAATAACACAGCTGATGAATTAATTATATATATATATACATATATATATTCCTGCAAAAATCCAAATCTCTCTCTCGCTGTTCTTTGCATATACGACTTCTTAACGCAAGTTACACGATACGCATGACAATTATTTTCGGAACAATCGAACATATACATATCCCGCACTTTTTATCTTATTTGAAGATCAACAAAAGAAGGCATACAACAAATAAAGACTGTTATATAGCTGCAATATCTCGCAATTCCCTGACATGTACGCATTCCCTTCCCTTCCCCTCGCTGTTTCGAAATCCTTCAACAGGACCTTTCTCGTGTTTACAGCGAAAGGCAAAGTGCGACGAATAATAAGAGGCGCCGGTCGTCGAGGTGGCGTCGTCATCGTCATTGACGTCCTCCACAGGCCACACAATCCAGAGAGCGCGGTTCATCCCTCGCGATTCGCGCGTGTATGTACGCCGCGCTTCCCCGTTCCTTGATTCGGCCCGAGCACAATGCACAATAAAAGAGCATTAAATCGCCGGCTTTGTCGAGTGAGCGGCTGCACGACTTCTCTCGCAACAATGGCGCGGCCTCCACTCGGCCGCGGTGCTCGAAACACCTGGCAAACAAGGAAACAATGCGCCGCACGAGCCGCACTTCGACGGGATTTCGCGCATTTGGGGGGTGCGCGCACGTTAACAAATTATCACCCCCGCTCTCCCCGCCGCTCCCCTCGACTTACCCTCGCGTCTTTCTCGCGTTCTTCCTCGTTCTCGCTCGATCTCGTTCCGAGTTTCGAGATTGCCAATGCGGTTTCGGTAACATTTTCACAGAGACGATTATCGTGTTGCATTTATTTAAAAAAAAGTCAACTTTTTCAAGTGTTAAATTCTGCAAAATATAGTTTTCTCAAACAATTTTGTTATTATGTGGAAAAAAACTTGTAGCGACACACACGCGCACTTCAATCGCGTAAAAGATAAATTACTCCTCGACTCGGAAAATATTTGTGAGATTTTTAATTCGTCAAGCTTTCTTTTTTTAATTGACATTGAATCATTGAACATGTGTTATTCGATGTAGAGACGTATTTGTGATATATGATATACGTTTGTCACGGAAAAAAACAGAAGATATCATTCGCCGTAGGTGGCCTCAGACCGTTTTCCTTGCGCCAAAGGTGGCGGCACGAGGGAGCGGAAAGCTGGAGAGGAGAACGGAAGGGGGAGAGGAGAAGGTGAAGAAGAGAAAATCAACCCGCATGTGCTCGTACGCACTCGAAAACGAAAAGTACTTTCGGCGAGAGCGCGGAGGCGGGAACTATATAAAATGCACCGAGTGCGCGACGAAGGGCGGCTGCGGCTCGCCCTTCTCGGTTCGGCCAAATGCAACTCTGAAAAGCCACGGAGAAATGTTTGTAATTGGGATCGTTGGCCCGTCGTGCTCACTCGGCGCTCACGAGATAGAGAAGGAAAGAGCGTGCCCCTTTTTTGTTCGAGTACGCGAACGTCCGCGAGCGCTTTTGCGATACGCGTCGGTGTTTTATTACGTTAGAGCGCGATAGGTTCAGCTTAGGTCTTGTAGGAGATGATTCATTCCGTATTATAAGATATTGCAATTTCAGAGTTTATACATCGGGTAACTCTTCAGTAAAAATGAAAACCGGTCTCATATGTTTACTTTATAGAAATTGAAATATTTTTTTTTTATACAAATTAGATAACAATTGCGATTATAGTGTTGAATAGAGAGAGAGAGAGAGAGAGAGAGAGTTTTTGCTGAAAAAACTCTCAATAATCTAATTCTCTTTTGTTATAATCTCGATAATCTAACGATATGGTTTTACGTTCCATCAGCGGATCAGTTTTACCAACGGGTGCGGTAATAAAGTGTCCTCGCGGGAGCGATCAACGGTAATTCATTCATCAAGCATTTTTCGCTTAATGACATCGACATCGTTAGCGTCGGTCGCGCTAACGTGTGTGTCCATCAATATTTCATAAGTCTCGAGTAAAAGCGTCGAGTGTTTACCGCGTCCTAAGCAACTAAGCGAATCCTCGATCTCGTTCGCCGGTTAGCCGTAAGTGTGTTCCCCGCCAGCAAATTTGCATTGAATTGAATTTCAGATTCGGCCGCGCGGTTTCACCGCAATCGGGCCGTCGTCGAGGGCCCCCCCGCACCGGGACCTCCCTCCGTGTCTTTCTTCAATCTGCGCGAAATCAAATGAGACAATATACGGGGTGAAACCCACGCAATTTAGCCGCCCCGATCATTTGCGGGTGTTGAGCGATCTAAATCTATTTGTTTTGAAAAATTGAAATGATCTACAAGACGATCTAATATACATGTTGATCGTCTCCTCTCCTTGTGTTCGAAAAGAATAAAAACTAAAAATATAAAGTAAAAATACACAAAGTAAAACATTTTTATTTTGATTTTATTCTAGTTTTTTTAGTTAAAATCGAAGATTAACTTGGCAAAAAACGTATAAAATTTTACTGTTAAAATTATTATTTTGATTACTTTCTTAAGAGAATTACGAGTAACACAATATGCCAGACTGAAGAGAAGTTTTGAATCATTCAAAAATAAAACGGCTACGAAGCGAAATAAAACGTTATAAAATTTGTAACTTTAGAATCACTTCGCAATTTTTATCTTTTTCCTAGTTTCTGATAAAGAGCAAAAATTTGTATTTCTCTTGCACAAATCTGAGGGCTTGTAACTTACATCGCCGTTCAATTCGGTCGACTGATATCTGCTCAAACACAAAGCAATGCGTCATACTCGAAGAACTCGATTGCGAATCTCCCAGTTTACCGTCTCTGAACCGCATAGGTAAATGGCTGTTCCCTCTTGAGCGGCGCGCTGCAAGACGGGGGATGAAAGGTGGTGGCGGAGGACATATCTTGGAATCGCTGGCATCAAATGGATAGATACGGAGGCGAGTAGGGGAGGGAAAGAAAAGTGGAGATGAGAGAAGGAGACGGGACGAAGCTCTCGAGCGGAACGGAGGAGTAGGAGAATCCCGACGAAGCGGGAAAACGACGTCTTGGAAAAGGTGCAAAGCCGACAGTATTCTTTGTAGCGGAGGATACTCGCCTTGTGCCGCCAAGACCTCTTCGCACTTCTTTACCTTTATCGCGTCCCCATCCCTTCCCCTCGCGCGCCACCGCGACGCTCCACAACTTCCTTGCGCAGCGCGTCTCTCCTTCAACCCCTCGCGACAACCATCGCACCCTCTTCGACGACATTACTACCACTGTAATGCCATCACCGACGCACGACCACCACCGCAGCGGCGCGGCCGGCTAGTAGAGTGTAGCTACTACTACTTACTTATATACTTCTCCGCCCACGCTTGGATCCCTTCGCCCGACCGGAGTCTCTCTTTCGGCACGGGATATTTACCAACATCCAAGATGGCGGCATAATCCCACCGGCTTTTCGTGAGAAGAACCGACGACGGCGACGAGTCATCCGCGTAGCGACTACAGAGCGCGCGGTCCCTCTTCGCCGGTAAACACTCGCTCTTTTCGCCGCTCCTCTCGCCGATTCTTACCGCGACTTGGTCTTCTTCTTCTTCCTCTTTGAACCTTTTGTGCAACGCGCGCACTTGGGTCACCGCAAAGCGCGACGCGGCGCGACGTGGGCTTCTATTTTTCGACGCCGACTGCACACACGACGCGCACGTTGCGCTCTCCCTTTCTTCTCGGGATTGAGAATTTTAGGTCGTGTAAGAGCGCGCGTACAGACGAGACGAAACACGTCAGCGGTTTTTTATAATCCGCTGCTTCCTTTCCGCTTCTTTTGCGTGAAATATTTTTTTACAAGAGTTTGCATTTAATTAAAACCTAATCACGCACCCCCGGATCATTTAAACTTAATAATCTACTGACTCTGCACACACACACATACAATCTTTTATCAAATTTTTATTAAAAACTACATTTTCAATCTCTCGATTTTTATTTGAAAACTGGCCAAATCAAATTATATTTTCGACACTCAAAAACGGATGTGAAAATTCCCTCCGCCGTTCCCAGCTTCGCAACCGCAAGTATAAAGTCGACACCCCTCCGATCGCAGTTTGCCGTGGAATCTACGGGAGATTTGGTCCAGGGAGGATCCGACGGAAGGGGTGGCAGAGATGCAGGAGGGAAGAAATCAGGAGGTAAATACGAGAGTCCAGGGTAAGAAGCAATCGAATCGAATGGTGGAACTCTCGGAATCCGCAATCCGCCGCGAAGTGAATGGCGAGCCTTTAAGAGTTCTATGGAACGGGGATGTATTCCACTTCCCCTCCCGCGCGCGTTTCTCTTTCCTACGCTTTATCGTCGTTGTAGTCGGTCTTAACTTAACCAGAACTCGAGATTAAGGCGCGGTAATCGCTGAATCGGCAAGGGAGACCTCGAAAGGCAGAGCTTACCAACACTTTGCCGCGTGATATTCCCGCGCGGAGAAAAATCCCGGCGAAAAAGCCAGGGTGAAAATATTTTTATTGAGTCGCCACACCGCGGCGAATATATTTCTTCGGGATGACAAAATGCCTTCTGCCGTTTTTGTAGCTTAAATTTGTTGAGCGACGAAATGTCTTCTGCCGCACGTGTGTGTGTGTTTTGTTGCTCGAATTTATGTATTTTACATAAAATTTACACAATATATAATTGACCTCTCAATTTTGCGAACAATATCTCTTTTCCCTATTGTACCGCAAAATCTGTTTTTGTATTTAAAAAAAGATATTTAACGATGAAAACATCGAGCTTACTTTTCAACGTGAAATGTGAAGTAACGTTGAAACGCGCGAGCGTAAACGTTAGACATACCGCAACACGCGTACTGAGCGCAAGACATTGAATAATAATTATTTACGATGTCTTCGCGCATTGCGAGGATTTCAGAGATATAAACGGCACAATAGGCGACATTAACATTAGCGCGAGCAATATTGAAATCCCGGCGCGAAGAGAACGCGCGCGCGACAAAGAAGCGGAAGCGGCGCAGTTGTGTTGGGCGGGAGGATGGCAGTTGGCGAAGAGTTTCTCCCGCCCGCGCCGCGTACGTGGAGTAAGTGCAATAATACCAGATTATTTGCACCGCAAAGCCATGCGTACGGGTAAACACAATATTCGCTCTCGGCTCGGTTCTGTGAACCGATAGTGCGCCCAGGTAGACTCGCATCCGCATCTATATCGTGCTAGTACTCCCCATACCACGTTCCCCCGCCTCTCTCTCTCTCTCTCTCTCTCTCTCTCTCTCTCTCTCTCTCCTTTCTCGATCTCTGTCCCGCTTTCACTGGTCTTCGCTCCGTCTCGCTCTTGTACACTAAGCGTCATAAACATCTCAACACTAAATCATCCAGAAACATGAAAACACATTGTATCTAGATATCGTTTGCGTTACTAGAAGAAAAATAATTAAGAAATGTTCAATCACTACTGTCCATGTTGCGTATGAGTAACTAATTGCTAGTAATAGAAATTGGCTTGGAAAAATTAGATTATTTTTAATATCGTTAGTGTTCACAAATTTATGTCAATACGTCAAGACACAGCTGATTGTGCGAGAGAGAGAAAGAGAGAGAGAGAAAAAGAGAGAGAGAAAGAGAGAAGGAAAATCACACATTAAGCATTTGGTAGATTATAATAGAGATGTTGAGGCACATTTATGACGTTTAGTGTACATCGCGCGCTCCTCTCACCCCTCTCACGCCCTGTCCTCTCGCTCTGTCATTCTATCTATCTTCCTCTCTGTATGTACCGCTCTGGCGTAATACAGATTCTATTTGAGCAGCCTCAGGGAAGTTAACTTGTGATGCGTGCAGCTCGTCTCGCTCTGTTGGCAATTCTACGGATCTAGTCCGTTGGTTGGTTGCAGCACTTCCATGATGAAAATACGGCGCGATAATGGCGCTTAGTTATTTCCTTAACCCTTGCATCGCGTCGTGTCAAGTTATTCGGTGTGTTAATTCTACCGAGATAAAAGTTTCGTCGTCGTCGTCGTCGCGAAAATGCGGCGCTCCGAAGAGACCGATGGATACACGCGCGTCTTTAGAAATTTTGCGTATTTACTTACGTAGATTTTTAAATTTTTATATAATTCAACAGATCTTTAATTAAAAAGTAAGGAAATTTCTTACGATAAAGAATTGAAACTTTAATCAAAACTGTTTCTTGAGGAATTGAATTCCTAGAGTAGAGATTGTGTGTTTTGATACTTTAGAAAACATAGCGTTATAATTAAGTTGAAAAAATAGTCGCATTAATTGAAAGATCATTTCATTGTGGACAAAAATTTTGCCCGATAAAAATATACGCTTTCAAAAGAGAAGTGAGGAGGAATTTTCGACACTGAATTATACGAATTTGTGAAATTGCAACGTTAGCATGCAGTTTGCTGCAAAAAAAAAAAAAGAGAGAGAGAGAAAAAAAACAGAAGACGCACTCACAAAATTAGTGTCCGCGGGCGAGAGCGATCGCGCTCTCGACGGAGAATGTCGCGTCGCCGGCGACTACTCGTAGATCACCGGCTCGTGCTCCAGCTTTATCGCGCCGAGCGCTCAAAGCAAATCAGCCTTCGGAGTGTTACAATTTCGCCCTCTCCCGCCCTCTTCGGCCCCCGTCTCGAAAGTCCCTTTAACTATCCCGCTATTTTCCTAACTCCCGTCCTAACCCCCTCCGGGGGTTTCCTCCCCGTCTCGCCCCGCCCGTAGCAACCCTCGCGCAGGGTGGAAACACATCGGCCCGAGCGATGAGCAGGGGTGGGGAGGCTTCGTCTAAAGGGGTGCAAAACGGAGTGGGGGGATCGAAACGCCCGCCCATTGGTCCGCCCACGTAACGCTGAAGCAGCCGCTTCGAATCAATCCGAGCCTCGATCTCACCCCGTAGACGATCCTACGCTCGCGATGGTGCACCCTTCGTTGTCCGCGAACTCGCGACGTCCGACGGTTCAGCAATCTTAACCTCAAAAAAGCGCGTCGGGAAGAGCTCACAATGCTTCCTGAGGATGTCGCGAGAGATTCACGCGTAAATCCCTTGATGTGATCAAGAATTGAGAAGAGACAATTCAGATCGAGTCGAGATCTCGTCAAAAATTCAATGAAGAGGAAACATCCTAGACATCTGATCTTGTGACTGCGAGATTGTTATTTTGTAACGAGTGACAACTCTGTGAGAAATATTCCGAAGGTGCTACGGGAGACTATCGGGTTCGGATGTTGTTGCAAGATGCGCGATAAAACGCGATAGACATCCTTGTGACATCTCGTCGGATGTCTGATGTGTGTATTGCAGGCTGAAAGCGCGAGTCGTCGCGGGTGGAAGCAAGACGAAGAAACAGACAGCGAAGTGAAAAAAATCTCGTTATCGTTGTGGAAACAAACTATTAGCGTAAGATAGCACTCGTCAAGCGGCGGATAGGGGAACAAACAGAATGTGACAGTCGCTTCGCTGAAATATACCGCAGCAGAAGTCGTTCGTGTGTTTTTCCGAAAAAAACAGACAATCCGAAGAAAGAGTTGAAAAAGTGCGTTTAATTGGGGGGATAATCGCCGAAGTCTTTGACTTGTTGAAATGTCAAATAAATCGAGCGAATCGTTTTGCTCAAGAACTAAAATTTGCACACTTGGTGATTGAAATTCTCAACGACGGAAGCGGTGCTCGAACTATTTTCACCGAAGACATTTCGCGGCCAATCAACGTGTGAAATCATTGTTACGTTCTGATACAGCCGGACTGTTTTCAAGTTTATGTTGAATTCGAATGCAATTTGTTCGATTTTTTTGTTGTAAAACAGATGTTTTCTAAGTGCGACATTTCGTGTTAAAACTTCGAACTTGATGTAACATAATTAAAAATTTACGACACATTTCGTCTGCGTAAACCAAAAAGTTTTTACTTCTTCAGACAAAATATTTGTTAATAATTAATAAGTTCGAAAGTTCTTCTCTTTTATCTGTTATAAAATTCTATCTTGAAGAACAGCTTACAGGAAGAAAACTTTAAACGGAGTTAGATTGTGGACCTGAAGAGTAAAAAAAAATCTTCAACAAGTTGATAGCCGAAGTTGATACTTTCCTGTGGCGTTTTTTAGTCAGAAAATATTTATATAGTTTCCTAAAGAACAATTGTAACAAAGAACACTTTTGAGGATATGAGAGCAAGCGGTGGTCTCGAAGATTCGGTCTCGGGACCGAGAGCGAAATAGAGCACACCTCTCGTAGAAGCAGATGGCGGCGATCACGATGGAGCCACGTGCGATGATGATGTCAAATCTGTCGTGCGACGGCTGCGCGGACAGCGACCGAGACTCGGACAGCAGCAGCATGATCGTGGATCCGGTGAGTCTCGACAAGAACGACCTGTCGCCGCCGTCACAGACGTCGTCGAGCCCGGTGATACCGAGCTGCTCGCCGGTGCCGACGCCGCAACCGGCGCCGTCGTCGGCCAGCAGGAGTCGAAGCGGCGGCGGCAGCGGCAGCAGTCGTTCCTCCAAAAAATCGTACTCGATGATGTCAGCGTCGGCCCAGTCGGGAAAATCCAGCAGCAGTTCCAGTCAACAATCGTCCGGTTACGGCACCGACAAGATGTCATCGTCACTGATCAAACCCCCGTACTCGTATATCGCGCTCATCACCATGGCGATCCTGCAGTCGCCGCAGAAGAAGCTCACGCTGAGCGGCATCTGCGAGTTCATCATGTCCCGTTTCCCCTATTACCGCGACAAGTTCCCCGCCTGGCAAAACTCCATCAGGCACAATCTGTCGCTGAACGACTGCTTCATCAAGATCCCGCGTGAGCCGGGCAACGCCGGTAAAGGCAACTACTGGACGCTGGATCCACTGGCCGAGGACATGTTCGACAACGGTAGCTTTCTGAGACGCAGAAAGCGGTACAAGAGGCCGCCGCCGCATTACGTTCTGCGGGACCGCGCGATCATGGCTACGTTCGCCATCTGCGGCGACCGAGGTCCTTGTCCGGGTGGTGGTGGCCACCCGGGCGCTCTGGCGTATCCCGCGGCCGCTTATCTGTCGCCGCCGCCTGGCTTACCGCTGCTGGATTTTTCACCGTCGACCATCGAGGCGCTGAAGCTCGGCGGCTTCCTGGAACCACCGCCGCCGCTTTACAAACCGGTGCCAATCACGGCGCCGCCGATCCGACAGATCGACCCGACACCCACCAGAGTCACAACATTGCCGATCAGCCACACGACCAACGTCGACAAGAAGCGCAATTTTAGCATCGACGCGCTCATCGGCAAACAGGCGGCCAGCGATCAGAACTGCGGCGCGTTGCTGGACCTCAGTCCGTCGGAACACAGGGAGATCAGAAGTCAAGCGTCCGCCTTCTCGCCGCTTATCTAGGGAGAGTCTAACGACTTTCTTTTCTGACGGTTTAAGTAATTTACAAAACACGAAGTTGATTTCGCGATTCCTTGCAATTTTATCGCGAACGCTAGTCATACTTGGAAATTAACGATAGTTGATCGTAGCACACGTTCGACGTGTTCCAACAATTTTTGCCGAAGATGTTTCTACCGAACGGACGTTGAAAAAAAATCGCACTACCGGAAAAAGAAATTTTCTTCTTGAAAAGAAGAGTGATCAGACTACAAAATAAACGCTGAACTATAATTACAGCATTGTTTCAAATGGTGATTGAGATGACGTTAGTGAACCGTGCGACGAACCGACGCGTCGCCGAACCAAGATTATTACCGCCGAAGGATCTTGCGAGAAAATGACTCGGGAGAGCAATCTCCGCGACGGACTACTTTCGCTCGGAGAAGCAATGGTAACTACATATTATTCGATGATATCGAAAATTTCTCGATCGATCTTTCCGACGCTGTCCAAATGAAATAAACATGTTTTTAAATAAATATAAACAAACACGCGCTATATCGGTTCACAGATTTTCATTCGCTTCTTGAAGAGAAAAAATATTATGATTTATTTTTGCAGATATGAAAGTATTGTTAAAAAAATACTCGTTTAGCGCAACTTTTTAAATGAACAATTACTATTACACGCGTGATATAAAAATGTTTTTTTGTATCATTTGGACAGAATCTCGTCGGAATAACACGATCGTTACACGATTCGAGGAGCGTTTCGTGAATCCTCAACGCGTGGGTTCTGAAACCAGTTTTTTGCGCGCGGCAATTGCGTAAGAAGGACGCGACTATCGTAAAAATCGAAATTTCGACGTTATCTGTGTTATCTAATTCCTAGTTTTTATTTGGTAAAAAGAGCTGAACAAGAGCGAACTGAAGATTTGCATTGTCAAGATCCAGAAAAAAAATTCCAGACGATTGTTCGAAGTTTTGCATTATCAAAGATCCAGGAAGAAAATTTCACAGACGATTGTTTCTTACCGAGTAAAGATTTATTTATTGTAGCCGCAATCGCGTTAACCGGTGCGATAAACATATGTTTAAAGATACAGAAATCCGTTTCTTATCGTTTATAATAGCCGACGGTAATCTGTTGTACAGGTTTCTTATTTTCTCAAACTTCTACTAGTCCAAGTTAATGGTTTTTATCATCAGAATTTATACACTCATGGAAAGGTTCTGGCGAGCGCAAGGAGAGTCGACAAAGAGAGATATATTTTTCCGTTTCAACTGTAAAAGCACTTCTTATAGAAGAGAATAACAGAGAACACGAAGTGGGGGAGCTACAGTTGAGAATAGAATATATCTATCTCTCTGTTGCTCCTCGCGCGACTCTCTCTCTATGGTTAGCACATAGGCAAGGTCTCTCTCTATGAGTATAAATTCTATGATTTTTATCAACCAACAAGTCACAAAAATCATAGAAAGACGTGTGAATCGACTTTAAAAATTAAAAACCAAAACAATGTATATCGAGAGGATACTAGCGCCTCTCCCGCACGTGTATCGGGGGAGGAGCATCTTTGTAAAAAGGCGTAGTGCAATAGCGTAGCGTAAATTTTATTTAACATTATTCTCTGTGCCGCTTCTTAAAACGACTAATGAAAGTAGACACTACCGTAATTACATATATAAGCCACACCAAAACCAAATACAATGTAAATTTTTTAAAAAAACAACCAACTTTTGTGCCATAATATCTCTTGCAGCTTGTTACGCAATTCAAAAATAAAAACAAACTTGTTCCTCGAACAGATTTTAGAAGAGACGAACACAAAATTGTTACATCGTCATTGTAACTGATCTACATTTTATTTTGTATCATTTGTTAAAATCGGTTGACATTAATTGTCGCGATGTAGCAACAAACACACGGACAGACACTGAACAATCACATATTCGCGTTCGTCGAGAGAGCGAGCGAACAAAGCTCGTTATGCCAATAAGTTTGTGCCCGCGTTCGTTTCCAATTTCACTTTCGTCGTTTCGGATCTGTCTGTGTGTTAGACCGAACTTAGGCCCCTTTTACACGGTCGATTAATATCGGCATTGTAAATACAAGTCCCGAACAAATATATGCGCAAGCCACTCTGTTAGAGCGGGGAGAGAGCATCTTTCTTCGGTGGATTTAATGTAAAGCTCGCCAACCCAACCCCCTTCTTTCCCTTTTTAGCCCCGTAAGCGGTCAAGTAGACGTTTGGTGTACATAAAAGCGAATCCGTAGCGTGATCCACAAAGTAATTGTGAATATCTATTATAGCATCTTTATACAATTAAGACAACACACACTTCCGTCTCGCGTGATGTCGAAACACACTGTCGCTTGCAAAAAAAAAAGAAAAAAAAAAAGAAAACACGATTTCCCTCCCAAAACGACGCTTCCGATTCGTTTGTATTATTTTCGTGACAAAGAAACAACAATGAGAAAAAAATAATAATATCACTTCTTCGAAAATGAAGATTATTCCGCGTAATTGCGAAAAGTCTGTGTGGAGGAAAAACTCGTATCGTATTGCGCGCGCGATACGATAAATTTGGAAAGTAAAAATAACATATGCGCAATTTACGTTTAACAATGAAATTTAAAATCTGTCCGCATATAGATTTTTTATTTCAGTATAAACAAGAGAAACGCAGTCTGCTGTAATCTTCCCGCACACATCGCAATGGCCAGTGTAACTCGAAATGTGCGAATCTCGTAACGAGCGCGTATTTAGCGAATTTTTCATGGTGATATATATATATATACATATATATACATATATATTTTACTAACTATTTACTCGTATATTTTTCAATCGTTACGAGATACCGCGGCACACTTCCACTTTGTTCCTCCGCTAAGAGCAAATCAGCGAAGTCAAAATATATGTTTAGTTATATACATATATATAAATATAAATATATATATATATATAGGCTACATGTCCTATCGTTAACAAAAGTCGTCTGTAGATCTTAGTGCGTATTGTATGTGTCAAAATGATAGATTTATTATAATATGTAATAAAAAAAAAAAAAAAAAAAACAATAAAGTATCGTTAAGTATAAATGCGACTGTTTTCCTCTTCATTTCTCACGCCTCTTTTACCTTATATTCTTGATCGTAAACAATTTTAACTGATTATCGCACGGCAACGATATAAATTTATAAACCCCAAGTATCGTCAGGTTAGATAATTGAAGGCGAAAACAAAGGTTGCGCATAAGAGAGGGCGAATCCATCGATCACTCTCGCGCAAGACGAGGATGAGTAATTTTCTCTGTCCACGCGCTTTGACGGGGGGCCAGGATGCGGTGCACGCGAGATAAGGCGATAACGAGAAAGACGCGACAGAAATCGACGGCAAAACGGTAAAAGCGGAAGCGCGAGAGACGGGCGCGCACAAAGCAATATCTTGTTTACTCGCTTCTTTCTTTCTCTCTCTCTCTCTCTCGGCGTTGGCAATACGAAGCGGAAAAGAGAAGAGGGTAAAGGTGTGCGCGCGCGCGCACGCGGCGGTGGTAGCGGGTCGAAGGAGAATGAGTGGATTTTCATTGCAGTTTAATCCCCGTTCCCCGTACCCATCCTCCCTCTCCCCTTTACGACGACGGTATTCTAAACGGCGATACGAAGGCAACTCTTGTCGCTTGGGGTGACGATATTACATTCCTCGATCGTGACGAAGATAACGGCCGCCGCCGCATCTCGCGCGCGCGCGCGCGGCAACTCGAGCATCGCGCGTTAAAACGCGCGTTCCTTTCTAATCTCTCCGGCGTTTCTCCCTGCCGTTTTGTCTTCATTTCTGTTTGCTCGTCGCGATGATATTTTTTTTTCCGTGTGTTTCTCTCGCGCGAGAAAGATTTACGACCGCGTGTTGATGCGGTTTGCAAAAGAAACTATTATTGCACACCGTCTTACGCACGACGCCGATACGCGTAAAAAAAAAAAGAGAGTGATAAAAGTGCGCGCTTGGATGTGCGCGTATGTACGTGATTCAACGTCAATTCTTCCTTTCTATTGTTGTTTTGGTGTAAATATAATTTTATTAATACAATTATATTATTGTTAAATTGTAAATTTGATTGTGTAGATTTAATCACGTGTTTTTAATTTGTGTTCTACGCAAAAAATCTCGATTATCTTTTTTGATTAAAAAAAAAAAACAAGAGCATAAAATAACTATCTGTGTGGTACGTAGTTTATTTTAACTTAAATTAACAATGAAACAATGGTCTTTGCAAAGGAACACAAATAAAAGCAAACTCACGATATGTAATGCGAGATTTCACAAATGATGTTAGATGTGTCATATGATAAGACACACATTGTGTTTAAAAAAAATGTACGTTAATTTGTCATCGAATAGATAACAAAATTGCAATTGTTCTCTGATTTATAATCCTTTAGCTAGTACGACTGTGTGTTAAGTAACACGTGCCGTAAAATTTAACAGAAAGAGGAGGAGAGAAATAATCGCGCGGTCTTATCTCGCGCGTTAAAAACAAAAAAAAAAAAAAAAAAAAAAGATTTACACGTGCCTTAAACGACAATCTGATGACGACGGAGAAACTAGTTTTGCAATTTTGCAAAATTCAGTGCGAAATCATAACATCAACGTCGAGATTTACGACGACGGGATGACAAGATACACACCGAGTATGTATGCACGTGCGCTCCGAGTAATGAGTTTACAAAAGCAACTATTATTACATTATCTCAAACGGAGGTAAACGCCGCATCGCGGTCGCGATAAAATAAATATCGCGTATCGCGCGATAAGAACACAGATCGAGGGGCGAAGAATGAAAATTCCAAGATAGAGGCTGATAGGGAGACCAAGTCTCGTAAGTAAACATCAATTAATAAATTTAAATTTGCTACACTCGGCGATTTGTCAAACAACAAATGTGATCTTACATAAGCGCGACAGTAATACTTACTGTCACTTCAATGCTATCGCGGAGAGTCTCTCTCGGAGTCTCTTTTCAGAGAACGAATTAAATTTTTTAAATATTGCAATATTATATTAGTCTCGTTAAAAGTAAAAAAATTGAAAGTGGTTCTCAACGTTTTTCTACACGTTACTACTCTCTACATATTATGTTTCTTCTTCTCGCGATACCTTTCGCTCGAATTTGCGCTTAAGCCTAGACACTTAACTCCAGACACTCCACCGCGCAAAAGTGTTTCACCACGGTCATTCCTTTCTTATCCCCTCGCGCGTTCTGCGTACATATATGCAAAGAACACAACCGATAAACCGCGTGACAGCCGTATGGGATGTTGCAAACGGGATAAGTAGTTGACAGAAAATGAAGAACACACCGGAGGAAGGGAGCGTCATATCGTTGTCACGATCGTGGTTCTTCGCGCGTGCAACACCCCTTTAATCGTCCGTCAAGTGTGTGTGCATTCGGAATGTAATATATCCTGGCGGCCACGTGCCGCTCACGTGCCGCTAAGTGTTTGTTTCGGTTTGCATTGTCACCACGGATACAAGCGCGCGCGTATCCGTGTTCCAAAGGCCCGTATATCCACGAGAGAAACGGAGTGGTGGAAGAGGCCTGAGTTTCTCTATCTATCTCGCTCGCGTCCCCTTTTCATAACTTCTCGCTCGGGGGGTAAATAACGTGCCGGTGGTTGACAATTAGAACCGATGGGAACGAGGTTCATTATGCGAACCAGGACCCTCTTCTGATCCTGTATCCCGTGAAACGTGGAAATATTTTCAACCTGCCTGCGTCCTTTCTCGGGACGGGAGAGGGAAGGGAGGACGGACGGGAACAGGGTTCAAGTTCGAGCTTTTGTTCGCGCGCGGAAGCCTTTGTCAAAGTTGTTTTCACGTGAAAACGCCGAAGAGTGTTATTAACAGCACGAACTCGTCTTTAAAAAGATAAAGCGATCTTCTCTTGATTATTGCCGCGTTCTAAATAGTGCGGGATTTGCCAAGTCGATAACAGATTATAGTTGTAAAATGTGAAGAGATGTTGATAATTTGCAATTGAAAGTCGAGAGTAATTATGACACACAGAGATCTTCGGATATTTCACGGATGAGGTAAAACTTTGTCTTTAAATGTCAACACCGTGGAATATTTTCAATTAAATTAATAAATTATACATCTTAAAGAGATTTGTCGTTTATCTCTCTTTCTCTCTCTCTCTGAGAAAGGACAAATAATATCACGCCGTGAATGGCCGCTGAAAAAAATTACGGGATTAGATACCGTAAACAATGTATAGACACGCTCATTAGAAAGCTCCACAAAAACTCCTCGACACAAGTCCAACTACAGTCATTGAGCTATCAAAGGGTTAGCGCGAAAAACGACGAAGCCAAAGAAACGCGCAGGATCATCCACGCTCGGTTTTGCCACGGAAACTTAGCAATTACGCGGCAAAGAGAAACGATGGAAAATCTTCATAGTTGTCGCGAAAAAGAGAGGGAGGGAAATGGGCTGCGGAGCAAAGAGAGAGAACATTAACGACGGACACACGTATACGCGCACAATACGGTGCTTCAGCGGTGTGGTGTGGAATGGTAATAAGTCGCCAGAACGGTGTACACACGAAGAGAGAGGTCCGGGTAGTCGGCTTCTCTCTCCGTTCTGGAGAACGAAGCGAAGAGAGAAAGAGAGGCAGCAGGCAATGACCAATATTATGATAATTCGAGCTTCTCGCGTTTTATCCTACTCTCCACCCCTTTTCTTCGTCCACCCTTCTCGCTACTGTCGCACAGAGAGAGAGAGAGAGAGAGAGAGAGAGAGAGAAAGAGAAAGAGAGTGAGGAACCGGGTGAGGAACACCCCACCGCTCGTCCTTCTTCCACCCGCGCGACCGGAAGCGGCGGCGGAGGCGGCGGCGGCCATGTTTCGGAGGCGCGGGCGTGGCCTTCCGGTTGCCTGGGGCAACCGGCGTTATCCGGATATCGACCTGGGAGCGACGAGAAGGGTGGCTAGGCTTCTGTCCGGGAGGGAAAATGTTATCACTGCTTTGTGGTGGCTAAGATAGCAACCCGCCCTACTCCGCCGCTCCTGCAAGCCTCTTTCCACCACCTCTTCTCTCTCTTCTCCCTCGTCCTGCCTATTGTCCTCTCTTTCTTTCCCTTCCCCTCGTCCTCTCTCGCCCGCGGATCCTCTCTTCCACGAGATCCTTCGGCGTTTCGGCCGTCTCTCCGCGCATAAGTCGTAGGATCCCATCTCTCGTGCGACGGTGTATCCTTGAAGTATGCGGGCACGGGAGGAGGTGATTCTTGTGTGTATCATGCGCGCGCGCGCGCGCGCGCGCGTGTACGTATTGAGGTTCGTATTAAGTACTTACAAGTAGTTGCCGCGTGATTACGTGGTAATGATCACACATGAGTAGAAAAGGGTTAATGACGGGGAGCTCCGTGTATTACAAAAAGGGAGTTTTTAAATCTCTAATAATTTTCTAATTATTTTGACCGGTTATAAAACACTTCTTTTTATACATTTTTAAATTTATTAAAATAAACTGTGTTGAAGATATCATTTTTGAGAGAGAGAGAGAGAGAAAGAAAGAAAACGTTACGATCGTTTGAAAAGCATTTCGTGAAAATTGTAAAAAATTGACATACACGTGTGTATACAAACGTTCGCCCAAAGCAAAATTACAAGGACGTTGAGATGATTAAGGAATGAAATCCCGCCGTGCTCTTATAGCATAAGGACATCGTGTACCGCACAAACTGCCGCCATGTTCCGGTGTGCTATGGAATTCTGGGAACGTGTGGGAGCCAAGAATGATATTAGATTCTTGGACAAAGTTTTCGCATGGCCGAGGTCTTGAGAGCAGCAACCGGCGAAGACTGCTCGTCCCTGAGCAAGGACGCGTGTTATCCTTCGGCATTGATTTCTTCCCGAGTGTTGTCGCTACCGCGCGACGACAACAAAGAACCGAGAAAAATTTCTACTCAAACGCGATTCTATTTAAATTTCTCGCTTAATTAATTTT